GTTTCTTTGTTTTTTGTTTTTTGTTTTTTTTTTTTTCTGCTTATTTTATCCTCGGCTTACGTTTTTAAGTGTTTCACGTTTAGGCATAAGCTCTTTTATATACTTATCAGTTTATAAAAAATATTACCCCCCCACCACATATATATATATATATATATATATATATATATATATATATGTGTATTTAGGCAGCATCTTTTCATTCATACACGTTTCATTAAATAATATAGACAAGTGTTGTCTATTTTATGTAAATTTTTTTCGTAACGTATGATAATTTTAATAACATTATCGTTGAAGAAAAAAATTCACAATATTGATCCATATTTCTTTTTAATACAATCTAAAAAATATGGATCAATATTAATAATTTCTTTCTTCGTTCAACGATAATGTTATTAAATTATCAGAACGTTACGAAAAAAATACATAAAATAAATAGACAACAGTTGTCTATTATCTATATATATAATATATATATATATATATATATATATATATATATATATATATATATAGGGTGTAGAGTGTGTATGTGTGTCTGCGTGTCTGTGTATTTGTGTGTGTCGAATGTCTAACCAGTGACCATATTGCTTTTTATCCTACCTGACCGATAGGGGAAGTAAAATAGATGTTATATCTTTCCTGATTGTAGAAAAATGCAGACGATTTTGACCTCCCTCTCCAATACTCAAAGTGCAATATTTGTATCAGGATTGTTCATCATTATGTCAAAACTTCTTCAATAACAACCAAAGTTACAATAAGAATGATTTTCTTTTTCACGTTCAATTTTTGACAAGCAAAAGTCAATAGAATAACTCGAACGATACAATATTACATATATCAATAGTGAATACGTATAAATAGATAACTAATATATATACAGTACGGCATATATCAAAAGACACGGGAAACATACATACTCAGAAGATCGGATTTGTCTCCTTTGGCCCTCGGAGTTAACTATGTGGATTAGAGCTGCCAGTTTCACAGCCTGCGGCACAGTACATTGATGAAAACCAACAAGAAAGTTTGGCACTTCCTGTAAAGAGAAATAACATGTACATTTACGAGTCGGCCATTAATGTCCTGGCGTATCTGTGATTGGTTAACAAAGAGTCAATCACAAAATCCTAAGAATGGTGCTGGTTTCATAAAAAGAAAATACACTAGCAAAACTAAATATAATTGAAGGATGTAAATAGATTGAATGAGATACAAAAAGGCTGAGACAGATGCAAATTAGGAAAAGACAATGTGCTGAGTTAGATTTAATAGAGACATAGAAAGATAAAAAATGGACACGAAGAAGAAGAAGAAGAAGAAGAAGAAGAAGAAGAAGAAGAAGAAGAAGAAAAGAAGAAAGATATCAGCAAACAAATTGATAGGTTGAAATAGAAATACGCACTAGGTGAGACAATAGAAATACATAAGCAGACTGAGATAGAGTGAATAGCAGATCTGACGATACCGTTATCGAGTGGTTTGATTTTTACGGCTTATCAAACTTTTGCAGGTTATTTAAAGCCAGAAATATTTTTTATTTTGATTGGTTTGCTTTTTTACGGCTTATCAACCTTTTCTGAGGCTATTTAAAGTCGAAACATATCTTTGGATTGTAAGAACTTTTGGGAAATAATATTAATGATTTTCGGATATCAGTCTTACTATTTAACCCATAGCTGGGATGAGAAGATGTGGATTCATACATATACCAAGGGTATTTGCACGTGTGAATATAACGAACCTGGCTGGTATTTGAACTCGGTTCTCCGATTTCTCATTCCGAGCCTTTATCCATTACACCACCGACACATCCCAACTTATAATATGTCTGTATGTGAATAATAAAGTCAAAAGGAAAATTTATCTTAGCCGACGTGTTTCATCCTCTGTGGGACTTCATCAAGGCAAATACAAAGATTTTATCTTGTAACAAGCATTTATATACAAGACAAAAATATATTTGTCTATATCTCTGAGATGAGGTATTATGATTATTTAAATTATTTACATTATTCGAACTGTTATTCTCATCTTTATTGCCATATTCACAACGTTTCGGTCGTTGTACGCTCCGGCCTTCTTCAGGTGATTGGAATTTCGAACCGAACCCTTTATTTCGTCCACCGCGGTATATTGTTCTAGTTCCATGTGCCATGCCTCTTCCAGATGTCTCAGTTATTTCCCTTTAACTCAACTCTCCAAGTTTTTTTTCTTTTTTCGTTCACCACTGCTGTAGCCTGGTATTGAACTCACAATTCTTTGGATCTAGTCACTGGATCCAACCAACACCTTTATCCATGGATGAAGATGAAGATGAGCATAACGTCCGAATAATGAAGATGAAGATGAGCATAACTGGAGAAAAATGTTTTTGGTTTTTCAAAATACTTGAGTTAGGAACTCTCATAAATATTCATCAGATCAGCTGAAAACATCAGGAAAGCTATGGGAGATGCGAAGTGATACAATTCAACAAACGAATGTGTGTAAGTGATGTTTTTTAATTTTTTTAAATTTTTTCGTTTTTTGTTTTTTTAGAAATTTTGTGCAAATTGGTATTTGAATTAATTTGTGTTATCTATTTTGAATAACATGAGGTCATGGGTGCAACCGTTTTCTTTTAATTTTTTAACATTTTTGTAGTCGTGTATCTTGGCTTGGGAAAGTAGTTCTTTCAGGAATGGAGATATTGGGAAAAACCGGCGCGAAGATTTATATTTTGGTAAGATTCTATAGCAGCACTCATTAGGATTTTCCTTCTAAAAATTACTTTCTTTTTGATATATATATATATATATATATATATATATATATATATATATATATATATATATATATATATATATATATATATATATATATATATATATATATATATATATATATATATATATATATATATATATATATATATATATATATATATATATATATATATATATATATATTATGAAATGGACTAAGTCCGACAATTATTTTAATATATTTATTGTTATAGCTAGTTTTATAGATACAATTATTTAACTAAATGTTCTGTTTATTATAAAGACTATTAACAACATTTACCGGCCTGAATTTCTAGACCTCCAGGCTAATAAATGTCGTTAATAGTGTTTATTATAAACAGAGCATTTACTTCAATATTTGTATCTATAAAAATATCGTGTATATAAAGAATTTATTTATTTATAATTCGACATAACATTATTACTGTTATATTTAGTGGATACACGTGTTGAAGTAGAATTCTCTCTTTTTAAAACAGTGCACTTTTATGTTTACTGGCCTGTAATTTCTAAGGTACATTTTCTTTATGATTCTCGAATGCACCGTTAGACATAGATTTACACAGTTTAAAATACGGAGATGTCAACTCAAACTCGTGTAACCACTAAATATAATGTTCAGATTATACATACATATATATATATATGTATATATAATGGACTCTCCCGTCGATTTCGACGTATGAGGATCTGACAGCTTACTTGATTCAGTTTTGTGCGATAATCTTAAGTGGCATTCAAGACCCTCTAGTGATTTACAAAAGAGGCCACATGTGGAGCAAGTGTGAGGATTGAGAGATGAGATAACTGTTAGATTGGCTGACCTTTTAGATCTTGCTCTCGCTTCTTGAAGATGATTCAGACAAGCAGATTGAAAATTGCTGAGTCCACTAAAACACGTTGATCTCCATTCTACCCGCTCCAAAGCTAAGCGCTCAAGTGTGTCATGTGGGGATATATATATATATGTGTGTGAAAAATGTATATAAATATATATATAATTATTTATATATTATATTATAATAGCATATAATATATAATTATTTATATATTATATGCGCGGTAGTTATTAGAAAGCGCTCAATATCAGAGATAGAGCTAACATATTTGTCTGACGATCGCTACAGCGTGAAACCCAGGGTCACAAACTCACATCTATCCAACCAAATATATATATATATATATTATGTCATCCACAGACAGTAGATTCTCTGTATCACAGCTCTTCAATGCGAGTAGACATCCAAATGCATCAAGCCAGGATCGAAACCTGACCGATTTGGTGTCAGTCAGAGTTTCTATCACTGAGCGTATTGTTTCTATGAATATAAACATATATATTCTGAGAAGTTGAATTTCATTACTGTGCAATTAATGGCTGTCGAAGAAATTACCTGGTAATAATGAAAGATTATATCTGCCATTCGGTCTTCCTCTTCAGTTGGGGTCCATAGTTTTCGCATGAAAACAATTTTTGGCATCATCGCACCAGTCTCTGCAAATAACGTAGCAGAACGTTAAAGTAAAAAAAAAAATGAGACAAAGATTTCATTAAATAAAAATTTAAAACTCACAGATAAAAAGATATGAACTAACTCTCTCTCTCGCTCTCTCACTGTGTGTGTGTGTGTGTGTGTGTGTGTGTGTGAGAGAGAGAGAGAGAGTGTGAAAAAGCGTGACTGAATGCATAGAATGTTCGTTTTCAGACTACGAGGTCCGGGTTCAAATCACACCATGGTCAATAAGATGACTTTTTAGTGTTATTGGCTTTTTTAATATTGGTTGGAGTTTTCTTCTAGACCAGAGTTTCCCAACCTATAGCCAATGTGGCCCATTGCAAATTTCAGGTAGGCCACAGAAATGTTATAATTTTTACTTAGACTAATATATGGGCCACAGATTACTGAATGACCTATAGAACTTTTTTTGACTAATAGTTCTCAAATTAATGAAATTAAATGTATGCAAATAATTTTAATATATTTAGATTATAAAAATTTACTAATTACTTAGTCTTTGAATAACATTTAATTAGTCAAGCACTGAAAATAGCGTTTTTTTTTCTGACTGTAGAAAGAAAATTACACTATTTCAGGTTTGTAAATATCTTGCACATTACAGTTATATAACTATTCTACTCTGATTTTGTGAATATACAAGTATACGATATAAGTTGATGTATCCATAAATTATTAATGGCTTTTAAAAATAAATATTGATAATAAATGGCCGTTTCATTAAAGATGCAAAATATTTTAGATGCTCGTGAAATCGTGTGTCCAATAAATAGACATAGTCGATATATTCTATGTAAAATGGAATTAACTTTTTACATTATAATAATTGCATAGATCGTAGAATTTTGGATTCAAAGCGGGCCACATGCTAAAAAGGTTGGGAACCACTGTTTTTTCGACCATTTGTTTAATGTAATGTATAAAGTCAGCATCTTGATTATATCATTTGTTGTCCAGATAGACTGACTAACCTTCTCTATGCATAATATTGAAACATTGGCTCGTCCATCCGCTACGAGTAGAACGTCTGTTCATGGAACAGTGGCAAAAAGGTGATCGCAAAAGCGTAGCGCTTTCCAGTCGTACGCTTGTAGTGCTGAACTATTGTATTCTCGATCCATGTTCTCATGTGATTAAACCCTTCTTCACTCAGCCATTTTGTTCCAGTGTTTTCCTTAGAGTCTAACCAACCAGCATTATCCGAACTTTATAACGTCATTATTTTCCCTTCTAGGCATATTCGTTACTCATTTTAGTTGTTACTATTGGAAGAGTTCAACTGATGCGGAAATTTTTGTTATCTGATAAGGCTCTTTGTGATTTTGTAGTGCCAGCTGATGAAGTACTGTCTTTAAAAACTCAAGTATTCACTTATTTGAAGCCATTTTTAATCATTGATCTGAGAGAGCGTTATAGGAGAACTTATAATACATAACAGTTCAGTAATCATTTAATTGTTTCTAATGAAATTTTCCTATTTCTTAATACTTTCCTTAGCTTCTGGATTGCATCTTTTGCTATCCCAATGCTCCTTCGGATTTCAGTGTCGCATTTTTCGCCCTCTGTTAAAAAACCAATTGCAAACATATTGCAAAATGATGATTATTTTACGAGATACTTACGACTTCTTTGATCGGTTATACTGGAAGACCAGAAGCACTCAGCGTGGATGATACAGTCAAACAAATAGTCTGTTTCCAAAAGTGATATCACTGTAAAAATGTAAGAATTTATCAAGGAGCTTAATAAAAAAATTATCTAATGGCGAGAAATATATATTGAAAAATATAAAATTAAAAAATATTATGAAATACAATATAAATATTAAAAAGAAAATATAATAAACAATACAAAAATCTTTAATGCATGGATGATACGATTTTCTATAGAGACGTGCGATTTTCTGTTTAAGAGTTTAAATGTTGTGATAATGTCTTATATAGATCGTTGAAAAAGTACTTGGAGTTGCCCAATAGAAGGTGCGGCTTATTAAATCATCTAGTTTATTAATTTTGCACGTTTTAAACTTATAAATTATTTCCAATCTCACGTTTTATTAAGACCCACGCTTTTCTTGCATATTGAGAAAAATGTGACCACATCCACTCATTAAGACCAAACCTGTTTTAGGCACACCGAAAACTTAAGCAATTACATCATGCACTGTTTTTTTGTTATAAGTCAATTCCTGACGAATATATATATATATATACATATATATATATATATATACAAAGAATAATCACACATAGAATTAATCAGAAGTATCAATGCGATTATTGGCGACATCCATCGCTAGAAAACATAATATATGCATTAAAATCCTGTTCATCCATAGTGCGAGTTTTGATCCTTGAAGAAAAACTTTTTCAGTTTATTTGATGTTAAAATGCTAGTATTTCGGTCGACATACGTGGATTTAACACATCACAAGAAATATTTAAATAAAATTCTCACTTAAAAATTTTGGAAAACTTAGCGTTGCGTCTTTGCACGTTCCGATATCTTACAACCGTCAATAATAGCAGATATTCAAAAAACATCTTTCGGTCGACATACAGGTATATCGTCTCAAGTTTTTGATTTTATAAGGAAAAAAAAAACATGCCTGATGATGGATGGAAGACTGTCCGTAAAATACTAACATTTTAACATCAAATAAACTGAAAACTACAGACAACAAGTTTTTTCTTCAAGGATCAAAACTCGCACTATGGATGAACAGGATTTTAATGCATATATTATGTTTTCTAGCGATGGATGTCGCCAATAATCGCATTGATACTTCTGATTAATTCTATGTGTGATTATTCTTTGTATGTAAATCATTTGCTGCCTAATGTTTTATATATATATATATATATATATATATATATATATATATATATATATATACACACACACATATATATATAATATAATTTCAGATATAACAAAAATATATACCTGTAAAAGGACAATATGAATAAAGACAAAACGAAAACCAATATTAACCAACGCGTTTCGTCCTCTGATGGTGTTAAAATCATCAGAGGACGAAACGCGTTTGTTAACATAGTTTTTGCTTTTGACTTATATATAAGCGTGTGCGCCTGTGTGTGTGTGTGTGTGTGTGTAATGGCAAAAAGAAATTTTTCTTTGTCTCGTGTGGAGCTTTATCAAGGTAAATGAGGGGAGAAACGTGTTGATGAAGAAACTGTATCCTTTTGTCTTTTATTTATAGTCATTATAGATATGTTTTATTATTTTATTTACATCTGAATTTTTACACCCACCCACATGTATACTGTTTTGATAATCTAATCTAAGCATAGAAAACTTATGGTTACTATTTACTACATTGGTATTTTTGTTTTATTTTGACTTATTTTCTCGTATAGGTTTTTTTCTTAGTTTTGCTATATTCATTGATACTTTTTCACTAAGTTTTCATTTAGCAGGATTTTTGTTGGTTGTACCAACAGTTGGGTTTTTTGTTACATATATATATATATGATGAGTCCCAAATATGGGACGAAACGGCCGTCCAGTGCTTTCTGCATTCTGTTGAGGTTTCTATCAGACTCGATGAATTAATTAAATATAATTATCAAATCCTCTTACTAATTACTATGTGTTTATCATCGCTTGAACCGGCTTCTAATGCTCTGGAGGGAGCGGCTTGGTGAGAGTAGTCGTGGCTCCAGGTGGCACAGTCCTATGGTTACAGAGAACTCAGTTGAGTTCCGCCGCGGAATATGTGAGCGAGCGGCGCTTAGTTGAGTCTGATTTCGAACCTCTTCGTCACCGAGGCCCATTTGGAACAGTTGGTATGATGTTCGCTTGACAACCTAACTGTCAGGGTTTCAATTCTCGGTAGTGGATGCGCACTGCTGACGAGTCCCAAATATGGGACGAAACAGCCGTACAGTGCATTCTGTTGAGGTTTCTATCAGACTCGATGAATTAATTAAATATATATATATATATATTAGGAAATGGATTAATTCCGACATATTATTTGTTTATAGGTTATTTTAAATTGATGCTGATATATGAGTAGACGCTTTATTTTTATTTATTTATTAAACAGTATATTTATTTATTTACATCTACTGACCTGAATATTCGAGAAAACTTGTCAGAAAAATATACGTCCTCCGGCACGATTCGAACCTGCGTTCCCTACGGGAAACCGTCATTAGATCTGATGTGCCTTAGACCACTCAGTCTCCTGATCAAACAAAGCCCGAATAATGTTTTTGAACACATATCTTCCCGATTCTCGAAATATACATATCTACCCTGTTTCATATCCTAACGTAGAGAAAGACAATTCTTTAGGAAATTGATTAAATCCGACATATTTTTTATTTATTTATTTATAATATTCAGAGGCCGATAGATGTAAATAAATAAATATAGTGTTTAATAAATAAATAAAAACAGGTCATCTGTATCAATTTAAAATAATCTTTGAACTAATAAATTAAAATTAATATATATATATATATATATATATATATATATATATATATATTTAAAAGTGAACATTGAAGTCAACACTCAGAAGCGACAGGCTGTTTCATTCTAGACGCAATCGTCAGGCCGCGAATGTACATGTATATTTATTTATATTTAGATACGCATATCTCTGATACTCAGCACTTTATCTCATATATATAGCACACCTTAAAATTATATTTTTTCATATATAGATATACTAGCAGTAGAGCCCGGCGTTGCCCGGGGATATAACAGTAAGAGATAGATCAAGTATCGACCATCATAAAGACTGAAAAATAAAATTGACAAAGATTATTGTTTAAGGTTGACGGACACGCATGTCTTAATGAGTTTTTTTTTTTTTTACGAATTGGTCAAACCCAAACTCAAACAAAAACTTTGTTTTCAATCGTTATGATGAGTCCCCTGATTGAATAGAATTTTATTATAAACAATTGTCTTGTAAATGGAATTTTTAAAGCATTCTGAATGTAAAAATAAAGAAAAAAGTGTGCAAGACAATAAGAAACACTACCTGCCAAAAACAAAAGTGAAGTTTTGTTGAAATCGGTTGAAAAATGTAGGAAATCCGATCCCATATATAAACGAACACACACACACACACAAACAACCTGGGTTTTTATAATAAGTATAACTCGATATGAGTTGTCCCCCTTTCATTCTGGCGACAGAATCGTGTTTTCAAATTGATTTCGTGCAAAAACAATTGTGTTTTTCCCATTTTTGACGCTGTCAGTACCACCGCAAGGTAATTTTACGTAGTCCTGTGACGCTTTGTTGAAATCGGTTGAAAAATGTACGAAATCCGATCCAATATATAAACGTACAGACACACACACACACACAATTTGCGTTTTATAATAAGTAAGATATATATGTATGTGTGTGTGTGTGTGTGTAGGATTAACACCATGAGAATTATTTTAAAATTACTTTTTTCGTAAAACAGGATACACAGTGCGTGCCTACATTGTAGAAACTATAAACAATGAAACAGTTACTGTTATATGCCAGGTAGTCCAAATTTAAGTGAACAACTTTTTAACAAGCATAAATGGGAAAAGAACTATGAATAGAAAAGAAACAGACGATGCCAGAAAGTAAAATCACTCAATAATGAGAATGGTGATGTTCAGAATTACAACATGTTCAATGTTCACACGGATAAATTTTGTCAGTAATTTTAAAACACGGTTCACGCCAACGCAGAGAGCTGATTAAGCATGACCATATGTCGGAACCAATTCTTTCCATGCATGTACAGATCTTTCTCAATTCTTCCAGTAAAAGCGTTATTGGCTTCAAAATTCGAAATTGGTATAGCAAAAGATGCCTTCCAAAAACTAAATAATGTCTTAAGAAACAAGAAAATTTAGTCAGAAACAAAGAAAAAAGTGATGAACTGCTATATAATATCAGTCCTACATGACAGCGAATGCTGGATAATTTCCTTACTGATGTAAGTTTTGTAACCGTAAGCTCTATGCTAATAGTTTCTTCTATGGCACTTCTCGCTTGTGGAACTCTTTTCGCAGTAAAATTTGATATTCAAAAAATTTAGTTGTCTTCTGTCTTTTTTAATTCTTTTCTTTTATCCTTCTCGCTGCTTAAAAAATATTTTATTTTCCTGTATTATTTCACACTCAGTAAACCCTTGCGTTTCACTAACTGTACTGGATGTAGTGGAAACTTGAGGCAACATAGAGGCGGTTCTACAGAACAATGTTGAGAATACCATAGTCGGAGGAAGTTTTAATGAAAATGGGAACAAAGACAAAAAAAGTACGCTTATACTTAGAATAAAAAAGAGAAAATTAAATTTTTAGGACACAATGAGGTAAGACGGTTTGGAGAAATTGTCACTCATAGGGCATATTGAAGGCAAGACAGACAAAGAGAAACAGCGATAACCTACCTATCAAGCTTGAGTAAATGGATAGCAAAAGAAGGAATGGGAATGATAGTAAGAAGCTACAAAGGATAGGAAATTGTGGTGAGTTAGGATCACCCATATCCTTAACAGACAAGGCACATAAAGAGAAGTAGGCATATAACATCACTGTCTTTATTGCTTATAGCGTCTTCAGTGTTGGCCTCTCCTAGCATACCTTGTTTTTTGCCTTGTGAAAGAGTATTTTGAAACCAACCCTCATGATAGTAAAAAATGTTCAACTAAATATTGTCTGATCATTGTTCTTCGTGTAATAATTGTACCAATTGGGAGGACGGCACGTATAATATATAAGAAAATCAAATATTCAAAGGGAATTAACTCACATCGTTCCTTTATTTTTACAAATAGTGAATAGCCTTCACCAGAAATTAGATTCATCCTTTGAACGAGTTCATCGCAGACTGTCGATACCTTTGTGTCGGAATCGACTTCCAGTGTCTGAAAAAAAAAATAATAAAGAATAAGAAAAAAGGTCAGAGTCAGAACAGCCAATCATTTTCTTCTCTCTTATTTATCTATATCTATCCAAATATATTTCTTTTAATCTATATATCTATCTATCTGTCTGTCTCACTCTGTTCATATATATCTGTCTGTTTCAGTCTGTTCATATCTATCTATCTCAGTCCCTGTTCAAATCTATTCATCGATTTCAATTTCTTTTCAAATCTATCCATGTATTTCACTCTCTGTTTAAATCTATCTATCTATCTATCTATCTATCTATCTATCTGTTTTAGTTTGAATATATCTCTACACCTGAAACTGCTATGACCTATGAATCCACTGTGGTTAATATACTAATGGGCTATTTCTATTTGTCACCTGTTATTATTAAACAGGTGTTGAAATAATGTGGGATACGAAAACCTTAAATCAAATGAATATATAAAAAATAGATAAAAATAAAAAAAAATAACTGAATTGAATTTAACAAAATCTAATTTTTAAAAACTATAATTGTTAGGCTAAAAGAAATTTCTTTTGTTTTCTATTTGAGTTTTCTTTCGGTCATGCGGCAGGCTTTCTGATAGCGTGATATAACATGATATGGGAGGGAAAGAAAATGAAAACAAAAAACTTCAGAAGGAACCGGAAACCAAATCCTTAACATGAAACAAGGGGAAAACCCCCTACTCCTGTTCAAAGGACTAGGAAGGAGTGTGAACCAGACGATGGTTGCATTGTTTATACCGAAAAACGTACTAGCCCAACAACTAAGCACTCTTCTGTTATCTATGGTGGGTAGAAAACCGGTAGAAATCGTCCCGGTTTCACGCGTCGCATAAAAATATGTAGAAATCGCTCCCATTCACATGTCAAATAAAAACATGTATAAACCGCCCTGGTTTTGCACAACACATAAAAACCTGTAAAATCCGCTCATATTTCACATTGTCAAATAAAATCCTGTAGAAACCGCCCTTGTTTCGCACGTCACATAAAAACCTGTAGAAACCTCTTCGGTTTTATATGTCGCATAAAAACCTGTAGAAACCTCTTCGGTCGCATAAATATGTGTTTTATATGTCATAAAAACCTGTAGTATTTTATATGTCGCAAAAAACCTCTTCGGTTTTATATGTCGCATAAAAACCTGTAGAAATATCTTTGGTTTTATATGTCACATATAAACCTGTAGAAACCTCTTCGGTTTTATATGTCGCATAAAAACCTGTAGAAACATCTTTGGTTTTATATGTCACATATAAACCTGTAGAAACCTCTTCGGTTTTATATGTCGCATAAAAACCTGTAGAAACCTCTTCGGTTTTATATGTCACATAAAAACCTGTAGAAACCTCTTCAGTTTTATATGTCACATACAAACCTGTAGAAACCTCTTCGGTTTAATATGTCACATATAAACCTGTAGAAACCTCTTCAGTTTTATATGTCACATACAAACCTGTAGAAACCTCTTCGGTTTAATGTCACATACAAAACCTCGAAACCTCTTCGGTTTAATATATCGCATAAAAACCTGTAGAAACCTCTTCAGTTTTATATGTCGCATAAATACCTGTAAAAACCGCTCCAATTTCACACACCATATAAAAACCAATGAACAAAATTCTGTACAGAACTTAGTTTGCTGCGTCCGTAATAAACATTGCGATTTACTTCAAGAGTTATTGTTGTTCGAATGAGAACAAAAACTATGGATCAAACTTGTCAGCGATGGTTGTACTCGTTTAAAATTAGTAAAGTTTGGATGAGAATTCAGCTAAATGGCAAATATATAAAACAATTTAGAAAACTTCTATTTTGGCATATTCGGCGTCATCAGAAAAATAAATTTATTTAAATAAAATCTAAATTAACGTGATATACCATGACGCACATTAAGCCGATGCATGTTTTATTTTTTTACTTTTACTGTATAGTTATAGAATGTTGAATATAGCTAACATTAAATCAGTTGTTCCCAACTAGGGATGTATGCTGATGACATATCTATTTACTCCTGTCGTAGTAGCAAGGCCGACAGGTTCAACAAAGTAAAACTAGTAACTGCTTTCGAAAAGAGCTTTCAAATAGTGGTTAACTGGTGTAAGGCGTGGCTTGTAAATTTTGACCTCACCAGAGCAATCCTGGTTTCATTTAATCACTATAGAGAACTGTCTGACATCAGCATGGCTGATGCTAACCTCCAGGTCAGCATATCTTTACACCTTCTTTGGCTCACGTTTTCTACTGGCAATTTTTCTCGTCAGAATCCATCTTGTACATTTATAAATCTATCTTTTTTTTGTGTGCATTCAATATTACTGTCATATGTCGTCTGGTGCTCCTACTATATATCTTGAAATTTTTGACAAAATTCAAGGAAGAGTCTGTAATGAAATTGATCATGACCTGGTATCTCGAAGTCAGTCACTTTCTTACCGAAGTGACTTGACTTCCCTCTGTTTTTTCTGTAAATATTTTCATGGATATTTTACTTAGTATCTCTACTGTGTGGAGTTAAGCGTGTTACTAGATTGGCAGTTAGGTCTCACTGTTTTATTGTGAACTAGTTTAGATCCAACCGTATGTTCTGTTCTAATAGTTTCTTTTTTCGCTTCTGGAACTCCATTCCGGTTTCTTGCTTCACTGTCACCTAAAATCGACATATTCCTGAAAACTATTCTTTTATTGTTCTTTCTACTCATTTCTCACAAAACTCTTCTACTCTAACTCCCAGTAATCCCTTGCCTCTTAGTGACATTATCACCTTGCTTGGGGTGAAATCATTTTTTTTTAATTATTCATTTTAAGGTTTACATATCAGATATTGTTTCAGGAGAAATATAGCAAGAACAGGCGATAAGGCTGAAATAGTCTAGTAGTAGATTTAATCGTAAGAGTCTCGTACATCATATTACTTTCAATGCATTTTTGTCCAGTAAATTATATTCATTTTTTTTTTATTAAAACAGCGTTTTCAAAATAAAACATGTGTTATGCTTAAACAGTGTCGGGTAGGTATAAATGTATAAATAAAGATAAATAAAACTGAATTGTATTTAAATTTTATTGTTCGTTGGCGGAACTCGTTGCCGAGTATTGGGATGTTCATCGTCATTTCCTTCGGTGTGAAATGAGTCTTATGTTGGATCTGAAGAGACGTCCCCAGCCACCGCATGGTAGGGTAGGAGGGTTCAGCGGATAGAGAGCTTTGGCTTTTCTTTGGGGTCTCTTCGTCTCTTCTATTTGTCTTCTGGTGTTTTCGAAGGATGTTTTTTTTTTCGTGGACTGTTCTTTTTCAATTTGTTCTTTCTGCAGCTTCCGTCTCCCAAATGACCATATCGATTCTGCCCTCTTTGTGGTCTCTTGCCAGACTCAAGCTCCGGGAAGAGAATTTTTTGGGGTATGAGAAAAAGAAAAGTCTTCGAGCATGAAAGCCTTGGCTGCGAATTGTTTGTGGTGGTCCATGGGTCGTCACTCCAAGGCACACACACATCAGCTGATACGATCCGCTGCGATAAACCATGGATTGACAGGCAGGCTCAGGATGGCAGCTTCCGTCGGGCTGCGCCGCCGACTTGTTCTAGTACACACACACACACACACACACACACACACACACACACACACACACATATATATATATATATATATATATATATATATATAATATCGCAAATTGAGTACTGACTTTAATAAAATAGTGCTCAATGTAATATAACAGAGCTATTAAGTATATATTAATAAATACACATTTTTTTCCTCGGCGGTAGTACAACTCGCAGTCTTTAGGTGCTCAATAGAGATTAACCAAACATATTAATTAAAATTTAAATTATGTAACGGCAGTCTCTATTCTATAGAATAATATATATACTGTCGTTGTTGACAGAACTCGTTGTCGAGTATTGAGGTGCTCATCAACATTTTGTTCTGAGCCATATGTTGGATCTGAAGGTACTTCCGCAGCCACCACATGGTAGTGTCGTAGAATTCAGCGGATGGAGAGCTCTGGCTTTTCTTTGGGCTCTCTTCGTCTCTTCTTTTTGTCTTCTGGTGTTTTCGAAGGATGTTGTTTTTTTTTTTCGTGGACTGCTCTTTGGTTCTTTCAAATTTTATAAAGATACAGTTAAAGTAAATATCGAACGTTCATATGATTTAATATTTTGTTTTTGGCTTTTATCGAATTCCCCTCAAGCAAGCCAGTAAAGCCACTAAGACACAAGGGATTAGCGAGTGTGAAAGAACTAAAAAACAGAATCACTACTAAAGAACGAGAACAATAGAAGAGTAATAAGGAGGATAGTAGATAGCGATTGACATTGCATTTATATTTTTGAAGATTAAAGTTGACTGGAAAGCATGAACCCGGATGAGAGATCCACAAGCGAGAAGTGCGAGAAATGAAACTGTTAGCATATAACTTACGTTTAAAACTACCCAACTCGACTTTAAATTGATGAGAGATCGACGCCAGTCTAGTACTGCGCTTAGATTCAAAAATTCTAGTTACCATATCGAAGAGCGATATTTATTTGTAATTTAATACAATATGTGGCACAAGGCCAAATGGGTAATGGGGAAAAAGGACGGTATTCTTCAGTCTTAACATTAAACTTAGCTAGCCACAATCACTGACCCAAACAAACCACAGTATTCCTAACACCAAAACAACGCATTCTCACTTACCTTTCTTACTACATTCACCATAATACCTCAATGTCTCTATGAAAATTCTAACTAGTCCCCATATGTACAATTCACATATGTGGTGAAGGAGAAATAAAACAATATAGGTAAGAGATCATCCAAACAATTAACATGAAAGTATTTATAGAAAAGGCACAGGGAGGCTATTTTACGGCGGTGAGAAAGTAACTGAAGCCGAGATGCCAGATCAGGACCAATAATATTGCTAATTCTTTTAATTTTATCAAGGGTCTCTAAATATATAGCAGGAGCACCAGATCATAAGTGACAGCAATACTTTAAGCATTGACGAATGGTAGACTTATAGATACGTAAGATAGATTCTGTAGAGAAAAATTGTCTAGCATGACACAGGAACAAATTTTTTAGCAGGTGACCTAGCTATGGACTCAATATAGTCTTTCCACTTCTTGTCAGCCGTGATATGAATCATGTTTTGTCTCGATAATATAGATTTTTTTAAAAAATAAAATTCTTTTTATGATGACGCCAGTTCATTTTTTTAAACACTCATAAATAACCTGTAACTTATTACATTCTTCTAATGTCAAAACAGTTATGTCTACAGAAATCAGAGGAAAATGAACCTACTATGTTAGATGAATCCGGGAACATGATGTCGATTTTTAACGTTGGGTCAGACTGTTCACTTAACGCCAGGTACTCCAGGAAATGCGGTGGGTAAAGTCGACAACCTTTTCTGTGGAGGAAAATTATGAATTCATAAGCGCTTTTGAGCAAAAAAAAAAAAAAAAAAAAAAAAAAAAAAAAAAGATAAATAGCGAAGTAAATGTTTGTACAATAAATCTCTAGATGAATTTTGATCTGAAATTTTCAATGCATAATGTTTGCACAATGTGAATAGTAATCATTATTGAATTAAGTGAATTTTGCAAGGAATCGGATTATGCTGAAAATTTAATAATTGTTGTGTAAAATAAAGGCTTTTTTACAATCACAATATTTTTTTCGCAATCTCTCCTTATGTCTAGCAAACCGGAAGTCAAAAAGGCAACACTTGACAGAAAAGGAGAAAAAGGTTAAAGTGTGAGTGTAAAAAAAAAAAAAAAAAAAAACACGAAAAGGGCAAATAATAACAACATTCTACACGCACGCACAGACGGGCGCACGCACACGAATGCACACACACACACACACACACACACACACACACACACACACACACACACACACACACACACACACACACACACTATGAAAAAAATGCACCAACGAAATATAAAAAAGTAAAATCGAAGGAGGTTCTGTCTACGCTATTCTGGAGTCGAGATGCTGAAGGCAACATCAATCAGCTAAGTGACAAACCTTTTACTTATATTAATTCTTTTCATATCTATCTATCTATCTATCTATCTATCTATCTATATATATATATATATATATATATATATATATCGATAAACGTGCAATCAATTTACAAATTCATGAATTATTCACACAAAAACAAATGCAAAGGTTAATGATTTAATTGGCGAGAAATCCATCGTCGCAAATAATTCAAATAATATACAAAAACCTCCGAATCCGTTATGAATGAAAAGATCCTTGTATATTAAACTTTCTTTTTTACGAAAACTTACGATAGTTTTTCGACAAACAATAGGAGTGGGTGATTTTCCTAATATTCGGATAGTTTTTCATATCGAATATTGATTACTTTAGAAAAATGCAAATTAGATTTGCTTCAAATATTTAAAAATAGTAAAAGTAAATAAATAAATATTATGTCGTTAATTCCCGAGTTCTCAAAAGGCAACAATAAACTTCAGAAAATAATATTTGAACATTTTTGAGCCACTTGAGTAATCGTAAAAAAAAAATCGCAAAGAAATAAAGACCTACTCTTTTATCTTTCGGATCTTCTTCAAGCAGGAATGTGCTAAGTGATGTCGACTCCCTCTGAGGAAACTGACCACTTCCCGGTAAACTTCTGTTCCTGGTGCAACGCATCCGGTTAACAGCCATAATAGTTGCCAACCTTTATTTTCACTGAGTCTGACAGAAGAAAAAAATATGTTGATATATTTCACAGATTAACAGGCATCATCATAAATAATTTTAGTTCACAAAAACAAAAAAAGAAAAATCGAGAAGTATAAGCAATCAATTGCTGATATCCCCTGACGAATGGACGGACGGGTCAGTCTACGAACTTTAGAGTCGGGATGCTGAAGGTAATGTGAATCATCCAAGTGACAAAACTTTCAACATACAGTCAAAAAATACACATTTATGATTGTTATTGCAATATTTTCTTAAAGTAATTAAGCTCAAATATTTAACGATGCGGCAAAGGGATTTCTATGGTTATTTTATTGTCGTAGAACTCACCATGATCTTATTCAATCATTATCTGAAGAATTAAGATTCATCTGAAAATTTCAATAGGAAAACCGGTGTTGTTATTTTCTTTTAATGTTTTGACTCTGAGATGTATTATTTATGAGGTTTTTAGATACTAATAGGGGGATTTATTCTGAGCCATCACATGTTGGGTATCGCTGGAATTCGAGTGAGCGACTTTCTATTTTTAAAAGACTATCAGCACTCCTCTCCCATTGTTAAGCACATGAAAAGAAACTAACAACACCATATTAACCCCCCCCCTTGAAAATGGTTAAAGTGTCCGAAAGCACATGGACAATTGAAGATATGGGCAGTTTTTGTACGTTTTCACTCCCATCAAACGAAAAATGTCAGAACATAGGAAAAACTAAATAAAAAAGGAAAATGAAAAAAAAGGTTTGTTACCCAAATATCTATCTATCTATCTATATATATATATATATATATATATATATATATATATATATATATATATATATATATATATGAAGAAAAATATACTGAAAAAACAAACAAAAATCCTAATATGCGATTATGCTGTTTTAATGTTTAATGTCAACATCGGACGTTTCGGTCTAATAGACCATCTTCAGGACATATTCATAAAACATAATTAACATAGACCATATACAATTCAACATGAAAAAGACGATGGACATAAAAGCAATACCAATCCAAACAGATAACTGAAATCATTTATAAGATCAGCGTTCCGTTTAAATATGATCACGTCGTCGTCACGTGGGCGATGTTGTGAAAACGTATGCCTAAAATTTGAGTATTTTGAATGAAAAACGAAAAGAATTTTATTTTTGATCTAAAACTTATATGTACGTTTGTCGAGCATTCATCTTGCTAGAAAAGGGGAAATATTAAAGAAGCCATGTCTAGAGTTCACCATGCGTGAAATAGATATTATACCTGCTTCATAAATCCGCCTCAGATTTTTATTATGAAAATATTTTAAAATCTTCACAGAATCAAAATCGAATATATTATCAGCTTTAGTTGAACTGTATATGGTCTATGTTAATTATGTTTTATGAATATGTCCTGAAGATGGTCTATTAGACCGAAACGTCCGACGTTGATATTAAACATTAAAACAGCATAATCGCATATTCGGATTTTTGTTTGTTTTTTCAGTATATTTTCTTCATACTGTCGGATCTATATCCATATTTTGCTTACATATATATATATATATATATATATATATATATATATATATATATATATATAATGCTTGCTATTAAAAATATAAATTTATATACGTAAAATTGTATAAATTAGCTTATATCAATTTTAACCGAATTTCTGCTAATAAAGTATCTTGATGAGTGATTAAAAACATTATGAAAATGAGTCAGCATTCGATAAATATTGAACTATTATATCTAATGTAATAATAATAAGAGAGAGAGAGAGAGTGAGAGAGAGAGAGAGAGAGAGAATGGATGAGAAGGACTTTACTTACTCGTTAGGATTGTCTGTCAGTTGCTTCACAATTTGACAAAATATTTCTTCCCTTAGGTATTTCTGTGGAAAGTCATGAAATAAATGTATAATATCCATTTATTTTCATATTTTGTATTTAGCAGAATGTAAGAGGTGTTTAAAAACAGCACTGACCTTTTAGACTGTCTGAAATATCAAGTTTACAATCTAAAAATCCTGTTGAAACATTTGAAAATGCGTCAGTATTTTTTTAGAATAACACCAACAAATGGCAACTCAAGTAAAAAAAAAAAAAAAAAAAAAACGATTTCAAATTAATAAAACTGAAATTAGTGTTAATTTTTTTATTCATTTATATTTTAATGTCTCTTTTACCACAAATCTCAGGTTGTTACATTCTATGAACATTAAAATGGATTTAAAATAACGAAGCCAATACGTTATATTTGAGCCAGTACGTTATATTTGATGATATCGACTTTGTCTATATCAATTTAGCTACAAAGGTTTAAAAGCATGGCGAAGTGGGAAAAACTTGTAACTTAGTACCAGCAAAAAAAATGGGTGTCAAAAGGACGTTTTTTCTCTTGACACCGCTATTATTTAAAGTACATTACAGAGGATAATAGCGGTGTCATGGGAAAAAAAACAAGCGACCATACAGTGTTTTATGATTTTAATAAATTTATAAATGGTACACAATTGGTATTGTTCAGTATTATTGCTTACAGATGTAGCCCAAATAATTGTCTGATACAACGGAAAGACACCTAGAAATGAGTTTAGAACAAATTTGAACAAGATTTGGTCGTCAGGTTGGTTTTACACCACAATTTAGGATATTATTCTATATGTTTAATAAATTTCTTGAATAAAGCATTTCTGTTATCCTTTTTTTATCAGTTTTTTTCTTTCATTTTTATTGTTACCTTTTCGTACAACACTCATTAAGAAAAGTGTAACTGAGTAGCAGACGATAGAAAACGTAAAACAGAAATCCAAAGGCACATGATTTACAAAAGCTCGACAAATATTATGAAACCGGCAAAATACTTTCCCTCGTTTGAATCAATGGCAAATGTTTGTGTTACGCCAATTTTTACAAGTGGGAACGCTCGGCCTGTCGGCATTTGAAAGTTTTGCTTTTATCTGATCACTAGCGTTGGTAGGATCTCAAGGACCTCAACCATAAAGCATGTTCAGTTTTGGATCTAACGTAATTGTACAATTTGAATATTTTACCTAATGTCGTTCGTTATATAATCTTTTAAAAATATCAAGAGAAAATAAGGTACTTACATTTCGGACAGCCGGTTCAATAATATCTTCGTTGGCCAACAGTGCATCAGAAATTGGTTCAGTTTTCGGTAAATCTCCCATATACATCATTATAGCTGCAAATATGTGTACAAGACTTGATTTCTGCATTAGTGCATACAAAATCATATATATATATATACCAATATTCTTTTATTTTAGGAGAGTGTATCTCTGTTAATAATTTTTAAAAAGACAATATAAATTACTCTTTTTAAGAAGAATGTTGTAGTATAACCAATCATTTCCCTGAGCAAAATGAAGTATGTAAACACAAATCAATGGTTTCATTTCCGGTAGATTTTGGCAGACAACACAACACTTCTCTCCTTCCAAATGTATAAAATACAATTACAAATCTTGGAGAGTCTTTACATTAAAATGAAGAAATCCATTATCAATAAAACTTGTTTCAATCTGCTCATATGTTAAAATATCTTTACACTACGAATACATTTTTGCAACGAGACACTAAATTCTATTTTATAGTCATAGTAGGTGAACACACGTCGATTTCAAACTTTAAATTGTTGACACAAACGCTATGTTGAATATTTCTCGACCTTCCACCTTATTTCCTTGGAAACAACGAACGATTCTCGAAAGTACCTAGAATACAACAGATCATTTATGCAACTTACTTGACAATTCTTACCTAACATTAAAACAACTTATTGAACATAATGATAAACTCTGATGAGCTGTGATACAGCGAAACTGTCTGTGAATTGACAATATATATATATATATATATATATATATATATGGGGAGAGAGAGAGAGAGAGAAAACTAGATAAGGAAAATGTTCAACGACCCGATATTTCACAGACAGGTCTACACGTTAGGCTAAGATAAATCTTTTCATTCTATAGATATCACATTTATTTAAAGTACTTTATATAGTACAGTTTATCAAATATTAATTTAAATTAACGTATTATCCAAAATTACTGAGTGTAGTCTGAGAGAATTATATGTATTTTCTAAAGAATTTATGGATTTATTTTTAATTCTTTATAAATTGCTTTGTTTAGGTTTTAGGATTCGATGCCCGCTGGAGATCATATTTTCTTTATTGAGATTTTTCGAGTGCGCAGGTCGATAGACGTAATACACGCTGTTTACAAGTACAAATAACAATGGGGTGCCTACTTCAAATACGTGTATCCACTATAATAACATTTGAAGTAATACTTGTCTCTCTCTATATAAATATTTAATGTTGGGTTCATAAGTCAATAGTAGAAGAGAGTTACATTCATCTTTGTTTTCCATTAAAATGAAAATGTCGTCAATATATCTGTCTTTAGTAATGTTTCTGCTATAGAAAGCACAGAAATAGTAATACAAAATTTATATATTCATCCTAAGCTCACATCTCCTAATATTAAACTAAATATTTTATGTCGACTACTACTGTCGCGTCATTTTACAATCACTATAGTAACATTTATACACAGACTGACGGCGTAGCTATGGGCTCACCAATGGGCCCACTCTATCGAATTTTTACATGAATAATATAGAGAACAAGCTATATGCTAGGTACTGACGAATTTTCATATTAACGGAATTATATTTATATATACTCGATTCTCCCATCGAATTCGATGCAGAGCTGTTCCTAAGAACTGACAGCCCAACAACAGCATTTGAGATTTGATTATAATGGTGAAGGATTTGTGCAGCACCATCCACACTTTTTGAAGGGCCGAATACAAAAACCTGGTCCACAACGTCCCCAAACGACCCTCCACAGGCTTTGAATTCAGAGTTGTTCTTCTCCTAGGTCAGTTGCCATCCAAGGTTATAGAACTCAGTCTGTCCTGCTATTTATTTTGTAGGGAGAAGAGGATTCATACCTTTCTCGTCATAATATATATATATATATATATATATATATATATATATATATATATATATATATATATATACCAAAGCGTGTGGTAAGCCCACAAGGAGTGATAAATCTCTTCTTGTTAAATCATCCATTTAGGAGATAGATGCCCTAAATTGTTACGTGACGTCTTAGCTTATAAACGTTTACACCTTAAATCAGTCATATGATGATGTGCTATTAGTTTTATTTGCCATATGCTTCTAACTGATAACCTATACTTAAAGGTCAATTGCGTAGACATGCCTGGGTCATGCCAGCCGAACAAATATTCATTGTATCCCTGGCAACATTTCTAAGCACAAAAATTTTAAACATAACAGTCTTGCTTGATAATGATTAAACTGTCAACTATTATATATATATATATATATATATATATATATATATATATATATATATGAATAAATGATTTTATTAATCCGGTAGATTTTTATCACTTTAAATACTCGTGAATTCTCGTATTTGAGTAAGCGCTCCGTTTATTTATTACACAGTATATTTATTTTCACTGACCGGCCTGAATGTTCTATAAATATTATTTTTAAAAAAATGCGCTCTCCGGCAGGAGTGAGCTACCGTTTAGCCCATTACGCCTTACTGCTTGTCCACGAAGAACAGACTGTTACACGGTCAGTTTCATGCTTTCAAGCGAAATTTTTCCTGTCATAGAAGTTTTCATATCTGAATAAATAAAAGTAGCGCCTTCTCAAATAGCAAGTATCCACTAAAAATAACGTTTAAAGTTATACAGATATATATATATATATATATATATTGTTATGGGACCTTACCCATAATAATAATAATAGACTATTCCATACTTAATAAATACTGAGCCTCAGGAGTAGGCAAGGAGTCAGTCACTCAAGTCTTGAACCACAGATCGGTTGAACTCTCTGCCTTTGGTCGGGGAGGAACCCAAAGGAGGCTACGGCGAAGGACAGATTCTCTTTCGGGGAGGTAAACCGACCCTGAACCCGTTTATACGGGTTGAATGGGAACATTTTTGACCGAGCCCACTTTAAAAAGGCCTTGTGCCACATGACGCCCTCGTGGAGGGGGAGGCGACTGAATATCGTCAGTCGCTCAAGGCTTGAACGACAGATCGGTTGAACACTCTGCCTTCGGGCGGGGAGGAACCCGAAGGAGGCTACGCCGAAGGGCGGAGTCCCGTTCGGAGAGGTAAACCGGCCCTGAGCCCAGGTTCAATGGGCATATTTTTGGGCCGAGCCTACGGGCTCGGAAAACCCACAATAAATAACCGACCTTGTGTCACATGATGCCCCAGTGCGGTGACTGAATATAGTCAGTAGTTCAAGTCGAGTCAAGAGTCGAGTCAGAGGCAGTTCGAAACAGAGTCACGTTCAGACAATTACTGCAAGACATTGGAATAGTGGTACTGGTCGAGACTACATTGTTCTCCCTACTAAACCTGATTGTTCATACCAACACTTCTACTTCTCTGTATATATTCCTGTTTGTAATATATCTGTGTTATTCCATATCCGTGTTCGAGTTCTTCTTTATTGGTTCTACCTTGGACTATCACCGTGGTACAAGGAATCAGACCATAACACACACTATATATATATATATATATATATATATATATATATATATATATATGTGTGTGTGTGTGTGTGTGTGTGTGTGTGTGTGTGTGTGTGTGTGACAGTTAAAAAAAAGAGTGAGTCAGTCGTTCACTTTTGAACCGACTGTTCGATTGAACTCTCTTCCCACGGACGGGAGGAACCCGAAGGAGGCTCCGCCGAAGGGCGGAGTCTATTTCGGGGAGGTAAACCGGCCCTGAACCTGTTTATACGGGTTCAATGGGCATATTTTTGGCCGAGCCCACGGGCTCGGAATGCCCACGTTAAAAAGGCCTTGTGCCACATGACACCCTCGTTATCGTGACGGTTAAAAATAAATAACAATATGGCTACCTCGAAATATTTGGCAGGCACAGTGCTTTAATTCTTCCCTGAACTGCATCCTTTTGCAGAGTGGCCGTTTAATCATTTCACTGCTGTGCTGCCAGATTGCATGCATCCTGTCGCGCTTGAAGGAAGCTTTGTGAAGAAATTTTGTCACCGTGCTTTCATTTGTACTGAAATAAAAGAGCAAACAAACTTTTATTATTGTATTATTTCGAGCGATTGTTCTCGGTTTATAGATGTGATTACAGACGCAACGTTTCGACCAAGTACCCTGTGGTCATCATCAGTTGTCCATTGGTTGGCTGACATGGGATATATGTTGATTATTGTGATATTTTGATTCCGCCGTATCAGGTAGTTCCTGCTGAATTTGTGCTTCAGTACCTGATTCAAAGATTGAACGCATATATATATATATATATATATATATATATATATATATATATATATATATCATGGCATCCGGAATGGTGGCATAATGGATATAGAGATTGGGTGATCATATATATATATATATATATATATATATATATATATATATGCTTGTTTTGTAGTCTTTTATATTCAATATCAGATGGTTTTGACATTTGGTTAAGATCGTTAAAACGTTGTATCTATAATGACATCTATATCAAACAAGATAAGAAGAACTGTTTGAAATAATAAAAGAATATTGAATAATTAATGAAATACTAAAGTTTTATTCGTAAACGATTCTGAACTTTCTTTACAAATATCAGAGCTTTAAAGCTCAACACTTTCATATTGACACTATATATATATATATATATATATATATATATATATATATATATATATATATACCTACCTACGTTCAAAGTTCTACAAACTCATCAGCCACGAAATATTATCTTTTTTTTAATTATTATTAAAGGCAATAATTCATATCTGATGTGTTACTTCAAACGTAGGTATATCTGTATTTATTAATATATACTTCTTAGCTCTGTCTAACCACATTGAGCACTATTTTATTTACACCATAAATTAAACTGAGTAAATATTTATTCGCTTACTTGTGTATACACGCTAACGCATGTATATACGGTTGCTAATATCTAGTTATTTGGTTTATCCACATTAATACATACATATATACAATATGTATGCATTAATGTGGATAAATCATATAATTAGATTAAAATAATGAGAAAGAACAGTAAGATTTATAATCGGGTGATCCTATTAATTATTTTTATTTATAAAAAAAAAACAGTGCTCAATACAGTTCTGCAGAGCATAAATATTATAAACTTACTAATTTAAAAATATGGTCCCATCGTTACACAGGAATTACCATGTTTCAAAAAGAGAAATTAAAAACTCTAAATTTAATTTTGAAATTAAATTTAAAATTCTTAGTACTGTTTCATTTTCAAGCGATTTTTGAAACAACTTATTTTGAAATTTACTGAGTTTATAGGCACATACATTTTTTATATTAGTTGCTAAGGTTACGGGGAAATTCAATCATTTTGACAAGAGGTGGTAGGGTATTCAATTTCACTGACAACTATTGTATCAAAATATGAGTTACTTTCGAAATGAGGTTAAGTTAAGGTAGGATTGGGGTGCCTGATGACATCCATTTTTCTCACGTCGTTTGTTTTATTTTCAATGACGAGATGTTTTACGGCACTATAATTTTGCAGTTAAATTTATATTTTGTATATACAAAGAGTTTTTTTTTTCAAAAGGGTCGTTTGAATATGAGTACTTCATATTCATATTCAAATACAATTTTAAATTATTATTCCTAATTCTAATTTCTAATAGACTATACTTACTTTAAAACAAGTAAATATATTAGTATTACTGTCTTATTTAAAAATTATTATTCAAAGACCAAGTATTCAGTCACTGGGCGTGTTTCTAAAAATAAATACGCTAAAATCCACTTTCGTCCGTACCGTGCACCGACGGCTTAGTGGTTAGAAGCTCCGGCTGACACCAATTTACTCGGGTTTCGATCCTAACTAGAGGCAACCGGATGTTTAGCCACACTGATGAAATGGTCTGTCTGTGGATGACGTTATATATGTATATGATAATTTATTTAAAAATATGATTCTAACTCGCGACATAAGAGGTCGCGAGTTGGAATCATATTTTTAAATAAATAATTATATTTATGCTCTACTTTTGTATCGAGCACTATTTTTTAAAAATAATAACTAAAATACTAAGGAACTTTGGATCTACCTAACCAGTTCTTTCCTATTTTCTATATTTTTCACAAATATATATATATATATATATATATATATATATATATATATATATATATATATATATATATTATATATTCGCTTTACGGGCATGAGACCTGGGTTCGGATTTCACCATGGTCGATTTGTCAGGAAGGTGGCATGGCGGTGTTATCGATCTGAGGAGGTGATTCTAGCGTGCGGTACCTTCGTTATATGCGTTTGGAGCGAAATTTGGTAGCCGTAACTGTTTGAAAGCTGTCGATGGAGTCATAAGTCATCGTGACCGAGGGATTGAATATACTGACATTGTTCAAAATATAGCCATTCACGACAGATTATGCATTATCTTCCATAAATTGTAACTCAGTTCCGCTCCACATAGTCACAATATAAACCACAGGTGTTGAACAATCGCATGGCACAAACCGAAACACACTAATACATGGTTCAGTTCCTCTTTAATTCACACAAGTTTATGCGAAAATACATCAAGCTATTTTAACCGCCAGGTTAATATATGTGGCACGTCCTGATATCTATAGTAATCATTATATGCTGTAAGTCAGTTTAGTTCATTTTCCATCCAAAGAACACTTGCAGAAGACTCTCAAACTGAAAGCAAGTGTTAATGGTGCTATTTACACTGAAATTAAAAATACAATTAATAAATAAATAAAAAACAATTAATATTTCATTACTTACTTAAAATGGGTTCTACTAAATTCCTCCAGCGTATGCCTTGTGAGCAAACCAACATGTTCTGGCGTCAGTAAACGTTGTTCTTTCTTTAATTGTAATTGCACCATACCCTGGAATATTAAAAAAAGAAAAAAATCTGTTGCTGTTGGTACCAATGCAAAAATAGGCTTCTTGCTTACTAACAAAATAGACTATCTCTGTGGTAAAAAAAATTATATTAAGGAATGAATGCTATTTTCAGTGCGGAAAACTTGACATCAAGGTGTCCCTTCGCTTACAGTAATATGATATTTCCTTATAAAGAAAAAATGACATTCATTAACCAAGAAGCCAATACCACAATCGGTTTAAGTTTATAAATGCTTTCTCTTAAAACAATTTTTCAGGAAAATGGATTTCTAAAGTCCAGTCATCTTTGTCCCTGATTAGGGTTGAGTTTCCGGGTTCTTCTGAAGTCTTTTAATTCATTTTCACTCCCAGTAGCACATTCCATTTTAGTAGCATTATCGCCTTGATTGGGTCATACCAATCAAAGCGATAAAAAGATTAAAAAAAAACTGTTATCCCTTTCCCATTATTGATGGGGGTTCTTCCTAACCTTTAGTTTCAGTTTTCAATGGCATTATTTTCTTGTGAAGTTGTTCATTTTAGTTGTTGGGATTCTGTAGCTGCAGTCTACAAGTTTCGGGAGGCATTTAAGCTAATTCTTGCGGATGACTCTTGATTGGGCCTTTATCGCAATAGATAAGGAATAGTGGATGCGATAGGCAACAACAAAATACAGAAGAATTCAAAATTGATCGCTGTTTTCAAGTATTTCATTAATATTCAAGCTTGCCTCTTAAAAGTTCAACGATAAATCTTCTGCCGCCACTTGATTTAAAGACAATTGGATGTACGTAGGTCCTTACTTTCTGTACAAACAATCATTTTTATTTCATGGGTGACTTTCGCTGGATTACGCAATTAATTTCGATTATTTCCAAATTTATTTCCAATTTAATAAAAATTCTTATCGTACAAAAAAAAAAAATTGTCGCAAAAATCACCTAAAAATGGTCGAAAATAATCACAGTAATGAAAACTTGGGAATCCAAAATTTCAGGAATTCGGGTCTGGATCCGACCCGGAATGGTTTTAATTTGATCACGGAGTCTACCTGATTCCAAAATGGTATGATATGTTGGTCTACGGCCTCTAGGAACAAAGTTGAAAAAATGTGAACTGAACTTGTTATATAGAAATCAGAAGGCGTATCAGCAAATTGTATTTTATTGTATTATTTTATGTATTTTTTATTTTTTTGTTAGAATTTAAAATGTTACATCGACCCCCCGCCCCTATTCCCCGGTATTTACAGAACCCTTCCATTGTGCTTGCAAGGAAGGGCGAAAAAGACGCTGTTTGGTGTCAGTGAAAGAAAAAAGAAACAAAGAAAGAAAGAAAAAATAGAAACGGTGATAACATTCTCATATATTTAATGTCTGCTTCAGTGAAATGGAAAAAGACTTAACAATTTCGAATCTATTCATTTGTACCCTCTTATTCTTTAAATAATAAAATGCATTTATCTTTATGGTTTTATTACAGTATTTTGTTGATTAACAAACATTTGGTGATATTTCGTGATGAGTGAAACGTCAATTACACAAAGGTTCGTCTGCGAAACTCCGTAATAGAGGTGGTGAATATAACATCAATCAGTTAAGTAACAAATGTTATATTTGTGTTAATCATATATATATATATATATGTGTGTGTGTGTGTGTGTGTGTGTATATATATATATATATATATATATATATATATATAAATTTACTTACCAAAAAGCTGGTTTTCGGTAATTCAGTTGTTGGCAAAGGATAAATCACGTGTGCAGGTACTTTTCCTCGTTGATTGGTGCTTCGACAAAGCCCGTTTATCAAATCATTCTCTTCATAATATCTGTATTTCTTTTCCAAAACTACCATATCTCCTCTCTGTAATTTTGTCAAGGCATTCGGCGTAGAACCAATTGCTGAAGAATACAGGTGAAAGACATGCATACACACACACACACACACACATATTTATATATATATATATATATATATATATATATATATATATATGCGTGTGTGTGCGTGTGTGTGATAGGATAAGGAACAAATAGGAAATGTTGAAATCTAACATGTTTTGCCTTTATTAAAGTTTAATCAGAGAATGAGGTATGGAGAGAAGAAACAAAGTTAAAAAAATATGGTATCTTTGTGTAGTTTGTTTTTAGTTGGTTAAGCAGGCTTCACGTGCATTTGTCTTGACAAGCATCGTTTGTGTGTAAAATTTATATGTGTAAGTGTATCATGATTCAAATTCGTCTATGCAGGATTCAAATGGTAATGTATATTCGTGTGTGTGTAAGTCTAGTTGTCATTTTTATTGATGTTTATTAGTTGTTTGAATGTCGATTTAGGAACGTTTATACTTAAGACTGGCAGGATATAGTAGTAGACATGTCTGAGATTCTTTAAGTACGTATTTAATAAAAGTTGTTGATGCAATATAGTGGGGTGATGGGTGTTTAGAAATGGTAAAATATTTCTTCAGAATTTCCTCGAAGTATTTCCTGCGGAAGGAATTATGATCTTTTGAATGTGATAGAGAGAGAGAGTGTATATATATATATATATATATATATATATATATATATATACGCACACACACACTCTATCCCATAAATAAGAGCACTTTAACTCATAACCATACTTTTAAAACTATATCTAATATATATATATATATATATATATATATATATAATTTTTTTAAGAGTTCTCATGTTTTAAAAAACGAGAGCCGAAACCATCCAAATAATTATTAAAATTAAGTTGAATTGAGGTGTTTAGTCCCATTTCATCTTCAAGCGAAATTTTCTTATGTTGCGAAGGAATCATATTTTTAAACAAAAAAAAAATTATTATAATAAAGCTCTACTTCTGTATGGAGCACTGTCTTCTTAAAATTATGCACCCAACGTGTTCTTTTCTATTTTTCTGCATACCTGCGCACTGAAACGATGTTGGATCATTATAGTGAGGAAATTGTTTTCGTCTATATGAAAAAATTATAATACACGCACACACACACAAACACACACACATATATATATATATATTTTGTTAGTTAGTTGTTACTCGTATCGGGGTTTTTTCTTTGGGCTTCAGACCTGCATCTGTGCGATTTTTTTGTCGGCAGAAGTTCATGTTTGTAGCTCTTTCTTTTTTTAAAACCTTTTTTCCCTCGAGATTGATTTGATTAGCAAATCAAAAATTCGAGGGCTTTTCGAAACGAGTCTAGTTATCTATATATATATATATATATATATATATATATATATATATATATATATATCAGACAATAATGTTACCTGTTCATATACGATTATTTATATATTATTTAGTGTATTCCTAATGAATAGCCTTTATGCCAATAAAGTGCTATATAGATGTCTAAAGCAATAATTATTCAATCAGAAATAATAAAATTTAATACATATGGGATGCCGTAATTTCTCAATCGCCAGAACTTTCGATGAGCATGAGTGTATTAAATACGTTCTGTAAGTCGTACAATCATTCTCAACTCAAATGGGCAGGGCATATTTTTTGTACGATTGAACCGCTCTGCGATCAGCTTCTAACAAGCAGTTCACTTAAAACCCAAAGACAATCTGAAGCGATGCAGCACCCTGATTCTAAACAACTGGAGTGAAAAGGGGTCAATCACATGTTAGATCTGTCTAAAAGTTTGCGTGTTGAGCACCTCTTTATTTGCCTGAACCCTCATTTGACGAGAAAGTCCATCACACACACACACACATATATATATATATATATTCAATGAAACATGTTTGTGTATATAAATATTAAATGAAACATGTTTATATATATATATATATATATATATATATATATATATATATATATATATATATATATATATATATATATGAAAATATATAGAAAATAGGAAGGAACTGGTTAGGTAAATAATCCCTTAGTATTTTAGTTATTAAGTAACTGATTTGAGAACTGGAAAGGATCATTATATAAATAGACATAACATATCTATATTATTCAATAAAACATGTTTGAAAGAAGATATGATGCTCATATATATATATATATATATATATATATAGTCTAAATAAATAGTTTAAATGCCCTACAACAAAAAGGTAACTCTTTATGAAGTCGTCAAAAAAACAAATGTTAGCGACTTACGAGTTTTTTTTTATATACACAAAACCCTTTCAGAAAAAAAAATAAAATAAAATAAAGAAAATAAATAAATCTCCATAGACACTTAACCAGACTAGACGATGTCATCTTCCGTTTTAAATTTAGACACACCAACCTTAACCTGACTTGACGTTCTGTGAATGTAACTGAGATATTGATACAAATTATAAAGCTTTAGGCCCCTTTTCTTTAAACGATTGCTCTAGCAACTAAAAAATTTTAATAGTGTGATTGAAAAAATCACTTTTAGTTGAACGGTTCAAAAATATTGGGGTTACCTGGGATCTGTTCGTCTTTGACGCACAAAGTGTAGACAGAGTTGAATCGAAGTTTCTCAATGAAGGTTGTCAGTAAAGCATAGAAATCTTCCGGGTGAGATGATTCCACAATGTAATTCTGTCCTTTTATATCTGTGAATGTCACTGATGCCCTGTAAGTAAAAGTGGAAAGGATACCCTGTAAGTAATAGTAGGTAATCGAATGACAGAGTGGAAAAATTCTGTGCAACGTTTTTCGTCTTCTAAAAGGACTTCATCAGACTAAAGTAATATTCTGTTGATGAATTTATATGTAGGTGGAGAAGGGAGATACAAATCTACATTTCGAGTATAAGTATGCACTGAAGGGGAACGCTGAAAATGTAGGAACGATAAAGTTAAAATTTTTAAGTTTTAAAATTTTTAAGTTTTAAAATTTTTAATTTAAAAATGTTATAGCGACCGATGTGTCTAGACGCGCAGCACACGGAATTTCATTCAGTTTATATATATATCCGTTCTAGTCGTCTGAAGATCACGAAAACGTGAAACTAGAGCAATAACTCGGGCTGTCCTTTGTTGAAGCTGAATTTGTAAGGCTTTGTTTTATTATGAAATCGTGGATTTCGCAATGGTTATAAATTCGCCTGCGATCGAACTTGTGAATTTCCTCAAAATAAATGTGGAAATTCTGATTTTTATTTTTGCGTTAAGAATTGTTACTTCTTCTTTTATTCAAGTTAAAAATTAAAATTTGCCTTGAAACATTATTTTCTGGCGCTAAAACATCAATACAAAGTCTATGAAACTTGTAGGGAATTTAAACGCTAGAATGAAATCGTCATGGCCATCTGGAAAATATTCCAAATTTCATCTTTCAAAAACTGAATTCAGTTTCGAACACTTTGCCCCACATTAAATTCGGCCTTGTGCCACATCCTACCCGGTGGGGAGATTGGTAAATATTACTAGCTGGGATCTGTTAAGTACGACTCAGATTTACGCGAGAACTACCGACCTTCCATTAGTTGCAAGTTGTTAGCAAAATTCGCCGGCAAATTACGTACACTTTTCATTTAACAAACTCATCAAATTACATTTATTTCTAATTTATGACTTTTTTTTCTTTTTCCTTTTTTTTTTTTTTTTTTTTTAAGCAAATCACTCCAAAGCAAGGAGGAAGTGCCACTAACACGCAAGGGGTTACAGAGAGTAAAGACCAACCACGCTGTATATCCGTCTCTGAATTTTGTCAAGGACCTCGAGATGAACAGCGAGTGCACCAGACCATATATGGCAGCAGTGACTTCATATACTTATATACTATCCAATGCAAGACCCAAGAGCAACTCAAGATCAAGGCAGCGGCCATAGCTCGGCCAAAAATTCCCCGTAAACCCCGCATAAACGGGTTCGGGTCTGTCTACCTCCCCGGACGAGACTCTGCCCTTCGACATAGCCTTGTCCGGGTTCCTCTCTGCTCAAAGGCAGAGAGTTCGACACCAGCTGAGAGCTGAGAAACAGATCTCGGTTAGTATATTTAGCTATCCCCCGAGGGTTGCACGTGGCACAAGGCCGGTTGAACGTGGGTTCTCCGAGCTCGTAGGCTCGGCCAAAAATATTCCCTTTCGAACCCGTATAAACGGGTTCAGGGGTAGTCTACCTCCCTTTCGGCGGAGCCTCGGCCGGAATCCTCTCAGCCCGAAGGCAGAGACTTCGACTGTTTAGCTGGAACAGGTCGCAGCTAGCCTCTGTAGTCTGTTTACTTGTAGATACTTATAGATAGTGTAGTCACTCATGGGTGTGACAGGACATTCCATTATATCACATCTTGATAATATCAGCCATGGGGAGATGATTCCAATGTATGATACTGTTGGCAAGCTCTTGAAAACCATACAACAGACTGACGTAGTCTTTGAGAGAATCTAGTTAGACGAAACGGTTCGGAAGCCGTCGGTCGATGTACTAGCACGATATCAAAAGTCATTACGTGCCGGGATTTAGAGCGTACTGGCCTTGTTCAACTACTGATCATGTCGGATTATGCGTTTCCATGTAGAAACTTTAAGGTTTGGTCAACATACTTGCAGTATAATTCACAAGTTGGTAATGTGGATGTTGAAGACGCGCAGTGTACCTGAGCAGGCGTCTACGACAGGGATTAGCTAGCAACTAGTCATTATTATAACTTATGACAGCGCGGATAGCGTAAACTTTATTGTCACGGAAAGTTGAATTGGCGTACCGAGTTTGTTATTTTTTTTTAATCAATTTAGCTCAAGGAAGGCGATAATCCCACTAAGATGCAAGGGGGGTACTGGTAGTTAAAGAGAATGGGAAGACTTTAGAAGGAAGTGGAAACCCAATCCTAAACAGGAAACAAAGGATAAACCTCTACTCTCGTTCGAAAGATTTTACATTCTGACCAAATCATTTCACACTAATACTCTTGAAAAGGGTATGAATCCAAATTGATTCACCTATGAGTTAAGTAACATGGCAGATTAGGCTTTCTTTTCTTGTATAACCGTCAAAAGAGTGAAAGAAAACTGAATACAATACTGGCCCGAAGAGGAATTGGTTCCATCCTTTCTCTCACACCGACTACAGCAGTACTTATAGTGTTAATTTTTATGCTACACGTTCTTTTATTGTCATATTTTGCCATGGGGTTAAATCAGTTACAGAATCGGTTTAAGTTTCATTATGTCCTTTTAAGGGCAGAATGATAGAATATATAGTTGTTAGCCAAAGGGATTACCTAAGAAGTGAACTCCAAATTGGAGACGTCTGAATCAAACAGAAATTTAACAATCTTGAAAGTTTTTATAACAGACAACAGAAAATATGACAATTAATAAAAGGCACGGATCACTTACCGATCTTTCTTGACGTCTACTATTTCAATATAAGGAATCAAAATTTTCTGAATTTCGTCTTCACTCAGAACAGACAATCCTTTCCAATGGAGTACAACCATTATTTTTGACCAAGAGGAATCTGGCCCTGTGAATAACTTAGTATCATAGAACCGTGCGAATGAATTGTACAAATGTTCTTTTGCATAACTCGCAACTTCCACCTTGTAGGAATGTGCATTCCTCTCGGGGCCATTTTCAAAATCATTTTGTATTTTGTCTGTAATTAACGCAGCCCATTGGCTAAGATCTTTTTCTTCGAGGCTTCCCTGAGGAAGCCATGTTTTAATGAAGTTGGCCAGTTTCTCTCGTTGGTTGCCTTCATAGTCCAGCATGAATTTGATGGCACTAAACTTAATCAGATTTTCTTCCTGAAGAAATAATAATAATAATAATAATAATAATAAGTGCAAAATTACAAAAATTATTAGTGAAAAATATCATGAAGCCATTTTTGACCTTAGGTCTCTGGTTGGGATCCAGAAGGAAACGTGTATACAATAAATAATAATAATAATAATAATAATTGTTATGGTCCGGTTCCTTGTACCACGGTGATAGTTCAAGGTAGAGCCAATAAAGAAGAACTCAAACACGGATATGGAATAACACAGATATATTACAAACAAGAATATATACAGAGAAGTAGAAAGTGTTAGTACGAACAATCAGGTTTAGTAGTAATTGTCTGAACGCGACTCTGTTTCGGACTGCCTCTGACTCGACTGACTGATTTGCTCGCTCTGACTGACTGACAGACTCCTGACGGGCTTCACTCCAGACTTCAGACTGAACTCTCTGCTTCCTCTTGAGGCGCAGTATTTATTACGTATAGAATAGTCCATTATGTTATTATGGGTAAGGTCCCATAACAATAATAATAATAATAATAATAATAATAATAATGAAGTTATGTTGGAGTATCTTGGAGCACGTGGTGTTTCCTTGGGATCCAAACGCTTATAAATGAAGATTTTACCGTTACCAAAAATAGCAGGAGAGGGTTTTGCCCCCTGAACGTGTTGGCCCAACATGGTATGGATATACTCTGACGCCCACGAACCAGTCTCCACGTATGGGTAAATAAGAACTAACTATAATGCTGACACAACGAAAAATATTGCTAAACCGCATCGGTCGTCACGTGGGTCGACAACGACCGCGATCCCCAGTGAAGAACCAGACTGGGGTCGAAAAGTCTGCAACTGGGAAAAAAACTCTACCCAACGAGAACCAGAGGAAAACCGCGCCGAGAACAAAATCCCATAAAAAGAACAACAAATAAATGGTCTAGGGAAGAGTATATTGAAGTAATGATAGCATTTTATACTGCTTTATAAAAAACCGCCTATGATAACTTTCGAGAAAAAAAAACAGACTAGAACATTGATGCCTATAAACTCAAACAGACTAGAACATTGATACCTATAAACTCAAACAGACTAAACATTGATGCCTATAAACTAGCCAATGTGAGGCGTACCTGACATATAATTCAAAAGCATCCGAGAAAACATCAAAAAGAGAGTAAACGTTAACATCGAGGGGCTAAATCTAGAGAAGATATATGCAGAACAAATAGAAACCAGTTGTAATAATCCCTCAGAGGTACACAAGCAAACAGAAGACGATAATGACGAATATGAGAGAGAAACAGAGATGGCAAAAAACATTCGATATAAATGGGAGAATGTAAAGAAAATGTCTTTCGAGGAAAATTCCAAAGTAAGAAAGAACCGTCAAGTGAAGAAAACCATCATTCTCGCTAACCAAGCAATTGGAAAAATAAGGAACAAAATGGAAAGACCAATAAACCTGACAGAAATTAATCATTTTATATACACAGCCTCGATAACTATCGCAGAAATAATAGGTGAAAAAGTAAAGGGAGATAACTGAAACGAAGCCTTGATATAAAGAATAAGACTGACGTAGCAAAAGATAAGCTGAAGCAATAAATTCAAGCGAAGGAATGAGGGAAAACTGCAAAATGCACAAGGAAACAGTACATGGATCACGCAACAACAGGAAAAACACACACACATATAGAGTGCCAAAAATGGTCGGATATCTGGTTAGGGCCCGGAGGGAAATCAGTATACAGCAGAAATCAAAGGAAATAATAATAAATGGGAGAATGTAAAGGAAATGTCTTTCGAGGAAAGAATGTAAAAAAGAACCGTATAGTGAAGGAAACAATCAACTTCCATAACCAAGCAATTGGAAAAATAAGAGACAAAATGGAAAGACTGATGAATCTGACAGAAATTAATCATCTTATATACGCAGCCTCGGCAACGATTGCAGAAACAATAGGTGAAAAAAATAAAAACGAAACGATAACGAAAAAGAAAAATGCCAGTCTGGAAAGAAAAAGCAGAAACCGAAATAAATAAACAACTAGGACAATTGTCACTTGTAAATGAAGTAGACAAGGACTCCAAAATGGAAGAAAGAAAAGGGAGACAACTGAAACGAAGCCTTCATATAAAGAATAAGACTGACGTAGCAAAAGTTAAAGATAAGCTGAAGCAACAAATTCAAGAAAAGCAACAGAGAAATCAGGCGTTATGATAAAAGAAACAGATTCTTCTGATAAAACAAGACCTTCAAAGAATATGCCAGGAAACTATATCGGGAACCCACCTAAATAACCCACCTAATATCCAGGAAGTCGAGGAGTTCTAGTGTAAGATGTGGAAAAACTGCAAAATGCACAATGAACGAGCTACATGGATCAAGCTACAACAGAAACAATATACGCATATAGAGTGCCAAAAATGGTCGGATATCAATATTACTGAAACAACCGCTGCCATTTGCAAAATGAAAAACTAGAAAGCACCAGGGATAGACTGAAAAACTAATTTTGCGATAAAAACTTATCTAGCAACCACCAATAATCATAAACCCAGAAAAATGTCCCAAATAGCTAACGTGGTGAGTAAGATAATTACTTCCAAAAACCAGAGACGCAGGACCCGAAGAACTATAGGCCAATCACCTGCCTACCAACAATGTACAAGATCCTCACTTCTATCATAACGGGGAGGAGAGACTTGAGAAAAACAATTTACTCCCCGCAGAACAGAAGGGATGTAAAAGAAGAAGTTACCAACTAAATATTAATAAAACAATATACCTTGCACGGGCATACAATGATATAATCAGAAACCCCCACAAAATGCCCCAAATAGCTCACGTGGTGAGTAACATAACTACTTCCAAAAACCAGAGACGCAGGACCCGAAGAACTATAGGCCCATCACCTGCCTACCGACAATATACAAGATCTTCACTTCTATCATAATGGAGAGGACATACTTGAGAAAAACAATTTACTCACCGCAGAACAGAAAGGATGTAAAAGAGGAAGTTACCAACTAAATATCAATAAAACAGTATTGGAAGAGGTGAAAAGAAGTAAAAGAAACATATCGACTGTATGGATCGACTACAGAACGGCGATCAACAGTGTACCACACTCATGGATGGAGAAGAGCCTAAAATATACAGAGTATGCCCCACAACGGTCAAATTTATAACGCAGAGCATGTAAAACTGGAAGACTAAACTAAGCTTAAACCTTAAACCCGGCCGTTAACATTGAGACCAATCAACATCAAAAGTGGGATCTTCCAAGGTGATTCATTGTCACCATCACTACTCTTCTGCCTTGCATTAGCGCCACTCAGCTGCCTACTGAACAACAGTAGCTACGGATACAAGTCACAGAATCGCAAACTGAATCGCCTATTCTACACTGATGATCTTAAAACGTTTGAGAAGGATGACAACCAACAGAAAAACTTACTCACCACTGTCAAAACCTTCAGTGAAGACATTAGGATGAAGTTCGGAATCGACAAATGAGTCAAAGCCACTCTCAAAGACGGCAAGCTAACGAAAACTACAGATTTAGAACTTGATATCAACAACAAGATTAAGGAACTAGTCCAAGATGGTACATACAAATACTTAGGAATTAATGAAGGAGACGGAATACAATATTCAATTATGAAGAAAAAAAGATCCTAAAAGTATTTTATAGGAGAGTGCGTTTGATACTAGAAAGCGAACATAATGGGGCCAATAAAATGAAGGCTATCAACATCTTAGCTATACCCGTAGTAACATATAGCTTAAATATTATTAAATAGAAGTTGAATGACATTAAAAGACTAGACGCCAATAACAGAAAAATTCTTACCCAAAATAGGATGCACCACCCGAAATCAGACGTTGATAGTCTCTGTACGTACCAAAATCTTAATTCAATTTGAACTAAGTCTAAAAACTACAACAATCGGATTGGAAACATACCTTAGAAAAACGAATGACACTCTCGTATAAATAGTAAAACACCAGAAATACTCCATCAACAAAGAAAATGCACTCTTCAAGAAACAACTTAATATACCTGAATGTCTCCCAACAAAAAAAGCAAATACCATCTACGCCAAATGAATAAAACAGAAAGCAAAACAACTTGGCCAAATGAAATTACAAGCAAAAACTGGGAGGACAAGGTGTTGCATGACAAATACCTAAAAAGAACAAAAGAAGCAGATATAGAAAACAACAACAACAAAAAACAAAAAACAAATCAGTGGCTGAGGAGAACCTGGTTGAAAGCTGAGACAGAAGGCCTAATTATTGCAGCTCAGGACCAAAGCCTCGCAACCAGATACTATCAATATCACATAATCAAGGATAGAACTAACCCTAAATGTAGGATCTGCAGAAAATATGATGAAACTGTCGACCATATTATGTTCGGAACTAGTAAAAAAAATAAATATACATACAGACTTAACAAGGCAGCGACAAATGTCCATTGGAAAATATGCAAGAAGCACAAAATCGAAACCACTGAGAGATGGCATGAGCACCAACCAGACACAGTTACCCAAAATAACGATGTAACTATCCTCTGATACATGCTAATTCAAATTGACAGGGAAATAAAAGCCAACAGATATCATCAAAAAAACAAGAAATTCAGGAAGTGCATGCTTATTGACATAGCAGTACCATCTGAGAGAGATACACCGCCATTAAAATCTAGAAATTGTCCAAATACAAGACCTGGAGATCGAGATTAAAAGGATGTGGGGAATGAAGATTAAGACTGTACCAATAATAATTGGAACTCTGAGCCTCGCGAGTAAAGGAATGGACAATTTTACTAACAGTGTCCCAGGTAACACCACTATAAGATTGCCCTACTAGGAACATCCCATATACAAAGAAAACTGCTATCAATTCAATGACAATTCTCCTACAGGGCCTAAGAACCATAGTTTGGGCCCATCTCTACAGGATACAAAGCAGGAAACATAACACGCACAAATAATAATAATAATAATAATAATAATAATTATTATTATTATTATTATTATTATTATTATCAGTGAAAAACTACAAAATGATCAGTGAAAAACGTTATAAACTCATTTTTTGACTTTAGGTCTCTGGTTGGGTCCCGCAAGGAAATATGTATACAACAGAAATCAAAGAAATAATAATAATAATAATAATAATAATAATAATAATAATAATAATGGAGTCCTAGGAATGGTTGGAAAAGACTCCAGTAGACTAATCGAAGGGATTCCTGGAAGTCCATGCCTCAAAGAGATACAAAAAATTGTTCTGACAAGTACAGCCCACACTTTAAGAAGGGTTTTATCTATGTAATCTCTGTTTTTTTCTTTTTTTTCTTTTTTTTTTTTGTCAGTGGAAAGTGTCATGCTGCCATTTCTAACCTTAGAAAGAAATGTGTAAACGCCAGAAATCAAAGAAAATAAAAATAATAATAATAATGAAACTACAAGAAACTGGCATGAAGATCGCCCAGAACCGGTTCCAGAGATAGGACCTGTAACAATTTTATGTGATTTTACAATAAACATATTAAAGCTAATCGCATTAAGACCACAAGAACAGAATGTGCTTTCTTATTGACATGGCTGTCCTTGCAGATTGTAATGTATCATTAAAGATCTTCAAAAAATATCAAAATACAAAGATCTTGAAATGGAAATCTCAATAATGTGACACATGAGGACATCAATAATTCCAGCTGTAGTTGGAGTCCTCGGATTGATCGGAAAAGTGTCCGATAAATTCAATGAAGGGATTCCTGGTAGCCCATGCCTTAAAGAAATAAAAGAAATTGTACTGACAAGTACAGCTCACACATTAAAAAGAGCTTCATTTATGTAAAATGTATGTGATTTTAGTTTTACAAAAATGATCAGCGGAAAATGTCATAATGCCATTTGTAACCTCAGCTCTCTGGCTGAGTATGTATGTATGTATATATATATATAAATACTTACATCGATTTTATATTCCGAAACGGATATACCTCGCATCATTTGACTATAAATGAGGTCAACAGCTACTGGGTCCGAGAAACTTTCTTCCCAGGAAGTGAAATATTCTTTCCGGAAGTAGAGGCGCCATGGAGAATGATTCTCTCTTACGGACATCTGTTTGGAGTACTGTTCACATTCAGTGATTGTATCCATGATTCGATGAAAGCCATCGCCCAAACAGGAGATCTGCACAAAAGAAAACGTCAGAATATGTTTACAAAGCTAGTTTCTGTCTGAATTTCAGGGATGAGGAGTCATCATTATTTACACTCTTTCTTTCGTTTCGATCGTTGTACTCCCCGGCCTTCATCATGTGTATGTCGATCCGGGTAACCTACAGGGAATTTCTAACTAAACCCATTATTTAATATGTGATAATATAGATACTTAAAAACGCTATGGCCAATTTGAAACAAAATAAACATATAAAAATATATACATAAATAAATTAATGAGATTTTCACGACGGAAAAATATTAAAATATTGTAAATATTGTATTCTGACATAGAAAAATAAAAATAAATGAAAGAAAGTTATGGTTCGAAAAATAATGTATGTATATCAAAAGAAAATAATAATTATAATTTTAATCATAATTTATGATTATATATTATAAAGGTTTTAAGGTAAATACAGGCTGTCCATAAAGTTCGTGTGCTGTTTAAAAAATTCATAATCTTATTTGTATTTTCGATAGAAATAATTTGTAAAAAGGATTAGAAAGAAGTAAATCTCTTTTTTAAGGTTTTATTGAAATTTTATTTAAGTTTCCACATCATTAGCAATACAAAGGGTAATACGATTTTCCAGTTCACGGAAAACATTTGCCAACTGATTTACAGTAATGCTTGAAATCACATTAGTTATTTTAGTTATACTTAAAACTAGGTACATTAAACTTTATAACATTTTTTACAGATTATTTCTATCGCAAATACAAATAAAGTTATAAATTTTTTAAAGAGCACACGAACTTTATGGACACCCTGTATAACATTTAATTAAAACTTTATTAAGATGTTTTATAAGTATCTATTTTAATATTGTTCTCTCTAAGTATTATACTAGATAGAAAAGGTGCTTTTTATTGATCGAAGTGAATTGTGATATCAGAGCTGATTCAAGAATTCTTCTAGACAATTGATGATAAATACTTTTAACCATTTTAGCGCTTTTTAAAATCAAATGGATGATTTGTATTTTGCATAGCGGGGGAATAAGGAATTTAATGAATTATCAATTTTTCTGTCTCTTTTGTGTTTATAGTTTCTTAAACTACACTGTCCATCACCAATATCAATTTGATCACAGTTACTACATGAGATTATATACAGTGTGCCAAAAGCTTGGTAATACACAAGCTCCAAGCATCCAGAACATTCAGCAGGCCTTTGATGACGATGACGCCATGGGCAAAATTTCAGATCAACGTCTAGTACAACCGCTTCAAACATGACCTCAGTGGTTTTCAGATTGGGGGAGAGTCAGATGTCACACAGTGCCAAATCAAGAGAGAAGGGAGCCTGTCGAAGACGTGGTGTGTTCGGATCCGTAAATGATCTGTTGTTCATAAGTCTTTCAGCCCAGCGTTCCTGAACAATTTTAACCCTTTTGCCTGAGCTCCTAAGTCAAAATTCGCAAATAATTGGTAATGTTTCACGGTAGATAAAAAGATAGTTACAAGTGTTTACCCACCGTTCAACCGGTGGCTGGGCATTACGTCATTTTTCTCTACCACCAGTAAAGCTATGGTCAGGGCTTAAAGGGTTAAAACAGAAAAAAAGCTTAATGCAATATATCTGCTCGATGCGTTAGGTCATCTTACATGAAAACGAAAATCTAACGAGTGCGCACTACACGTCTGTACTCTCGCTGTAACAGCTGGTAACTTATGCGGCCTACTGGCGCGAAAACTTTCACTAATGCGCAAGAATGGTGTCGTCATTTCCCACCCAAATGATTTCGCCCGCGAAGCATTAATTTTGTTGCGAAGAAATCGGATACTTTTTGAACGCACTGCATATTTACCAGCATTTGAAAGATATGTATCATTCTGGTTTTTGGTTTATCATGTCTTTTATGATAGAAGATATGGTTAGGGTGGCTTTAATTCCAAGGTCTTTGATTTTATTAGCAATTTTTTGGGTAGGTAGATTTGTGGACAAAGATATTTATCTATTAGACATAGAATACTCACAAGTCTTAGCTGACGTTCAATATTGATGTGTATCTGTAGAGCTTTTTTTTACCTATTAGTATAATGTTAACAGAGTATTGTATCGTTTTGAATGTATTTACAATGTATTTAAGCTCTTCATCTAAATAAGTAGAAAGGTTACTTATTCTAAATGCTCTGAAATTTTTTTAAAATTATTGTTATACCGGTTTTAGTCATATTGTCATGGTGTGAGTAAAAATGTATGTGGTTATTCATTGTTCTAACGTTTCATCTTTTGTGAAGTACCGTGATCATTATTTTCAAACGACTGCTTTTTCTTATTTTGTATTTGTTTATATTTCTTCTTTTTTCCGACTTTTCTTATTAACAAATATATTATTTCAGGTTTCATTATAAAATGTAACGTTTTCACAATGTTTATAACATTAAAAACAATTTATGTTAGGGAATTATCATGGTATCTCTATCTATAAAAGGCAGGATGTGTGTGAGTGTGTAACGAATGCACGGCTGCAATTTTCGGATTTGCACCAAAATTTACATGCACATGCTCCAAGTTAGCGAGAAGGCTAAGACCGACGTTGCATTTCCCAACTCCCATCGATAGTGGAAATAATCGATTTTTTCATGATTCTACGCCAGTTTTCATGTAGTTTGCGGCCATTTTCTACTGGCCATAGAGAGAGCCAATAGCTGGCTGCCACGAATAAACAGGAAGATTCTGTTGGCCAGCGTGAGTGCTGACTGACACGAATGTTAACTAGCATGCTAGCATGCAAAAAAAAATCGATAGCTGCATTCGTCACGAGTGGGAAAAATTTAGATCTACATGGCACTTTACTCCAATTGGCTCATTCGCTTGCTTAAATTCAACGTTGATTCTGATTCCGCAGAATTGGGTTGGGTGTGAAAAAGTATTTGTTCTTAACATTCTTTTTTCATTCGGTTTTTCCAGTTACGAGTCCTTTTTTAAAGCTGATCGTTTTGTGTTCATTTTGTTTAGTTCTTTTTTCGTAACAGATTTAAGGTTTAGTATAGAGCTTAGAAAAAAATTGCAGTGTGAGATTGGCAAGAAGTAAGGCATGTAGCAACATCAGCACGGCAAAGGGCACGCCTTTAAAGGCAAGGAAGGGCAATAATATTTTAAATCAAGTGATAGCGATTGCTGTATGAGTCGTACGATTTTTGAATCAAGCACGGGCAACGCCGGGACATGTTGCTAGTATTTATTATATGAGCAATATACCATTTGAGTTTCAGTTGATAATACTTATCCTCTGTTGAAAATCTTGAGATGTAGAATTTTCATTATTCTACAATATGCTATTCGAACCAGAATACTCATCTTTGTTGTTATATCAACGATGTTTCGGCCATTGTGTCATTCTGTATTTTGCATGTCTGTCTTCGTATTCGGTAAACTTGACGGGATTTTAAACCGAAACCTTTTTTTCAACCATGAGTTTAAATCTTTCTTTCTCTTCATGCTTAGAGGATATTTAGTAGCAGTTTAATACTAACAAGTATCATTCACTTGTACGTTTCTTTTACTGAGCCTGTACGTCTACTGCAGGGGTCACCAATGCGGTTGGTATCGAACGTTGTTGCCTATAAGACTATCCAGAGGGTCAATAAATTCCTGGCAGTTAAAAGGGTGTCAATAAATAAATTGAGGTGATTTTCGACTAAAACTCACCCATTTCAAAGCAAATATCAAAGCCCTTGCTAATGTTCATTGACCACATCCTTCCCATTAATGATATCAACTAAATCGATAAAAAGCTATATGAATTGAATGTGCTTAGTATTACCTATATAAGCTTTTCTCATTATTATTATTATTATTATTATTATTATTATTTCCTTTGATTTCTGGTGTGTACACATTTCTTTCCGGGTCCCGCCCAGAGACCTGAGGTCAGAAATGGCATCATGACATTTTCTACTCAGTATTTTTGTAAAAAAAAAAAAAAAAATAGACAATCTATAATCAGAAACACCGATGATCCCACCAACAATTGGAATTATTGATGTCCTCGTGTGTCACATTTTGTTTACGTTTTCACTTCAAAATCATTGTATTTTAATAGCTTTTTTTTGAAAATCTTCAAAAATACATTGCAGTCTACAGGGACTTCCATGCCAATAAGACAGTACATTCTGTTTTTCCGGTCCTTGATCACGAAATTATTATTATTATTATTATTCGAACAAACACGTCTAGTATCAGAAAAATAGAAATTGCACAAAGAATAAGAAAACGTAGCTAAACTGAATTATATCGATAAACAATAATGAAGAAAAATGCAATGGAAGTTCTACTCTTAACTTAAAAATTATGACTGATGTTTTTGTACATGCTGGTTCGATGGTCTAAAAAGCTTGGTGACCCCTGGTCTGTTGCCAACGTTAGGCAGAGTTAATTGACCTCACACTGACTTTACCCAGCTTTTTGCACTGTGATCAAAATTGTCTGTTCTTTTCAGTTTAAGTCTGGTTTTGGGAATTTCAACCTTGTGGCAGCACCTTTCCTATTTTACTAAAGAGGTAGTGCTGATGGATGTAGATGTTTAGGGTAACATTGGGTCGCAGGGACTGGGTAATTTTTATTCTTTCTCTGTATGTACGCGTATGAACATCCCACGTTAAACCGAACACCTGTAACATCTTTCCCACAATAGAGGAGGTGGTAAATGATATTCGAGTGTAGGAGTATAAAAAAAAGTGGCATTTGTTGATACAATGCTCAGGTAGAACGTCTCTTGGTGGTGTCTTTCTGCTTTCTTTTCTTCAGTTGCAATATGAAAAATATATAAAAACTTACTCTTTTATAGATCGCCGCATAAAGGGAGAAGCCAGCTGTTTCTCTCAAGCCGATTTTTCTTGCAATGGCTTGGCACATTTCTTGAACTGTCGTCGCTGAGTCAGCTGGGATCAGCAGTCTTTGTCCATTCATCAACGTAACTGGAATAAGGATTGGTTTGTAGTTCTTGATTGCCTACGAAAAGAAATCGATAAATGACAACAAAATGAAATCTTTGTAAGCTTAGATGCGTAGGTGGTATAATGGATAACGGCTTAAATAAATCTAAAAATATTAACATAATGTCCTATATACACGAATGAATTGTTTTATTATTTTACTTATATACATGGTCTATGTGGGATTTTATAACTTTCAATGAATCGTTGGTCCAGTGATATTGTTAACTTTTCTACTTGTTATGGTCCAGGTTAGAACCAAGGAAGAACAACACGAACAAAAGAGTAGAAATAACGAAGGTATATTACACGAAATAATAATACGAGATGTGGAAGGTGTTAGTATGACTGTCAGTCTGGTTTGGAGTGAACTACTATCGGCTCGACTCGATTCGGTATCTAGCCACCTCCCCCCACGAGGGTTGCATGTGGCACGTAGGCTCGGCCAAAAAATGCCCGTATAACCCATATAAACGGGATCGGGTTGGTCAACCTCCCCGAACGAGACTCTGCCCTTCGGCGGGGACTCGTCCGGGTTCCTCTCTGCTCAGAGGCACAGAGTTCGACCGTCAAGCCGAGAAGCTCGGCTTGATTCGATATCTAGCCACCCTCCCACGAGGGTTGCATGTGACACAAGGCCAAGTTTAACGTGAGTTTCGCGAGCCCGTAGGCTCGGCTAAAAAATGCCCGTAAAACCCGTATAAACGGGATCGGGTTGGTCATTCTCTCCGAACGAGACTCTGCCCTTCGGCTGAGCCTCGTCGGGGTTCCTTTCTACTCAGAAGCAGAGAGTTCGACCGTCAAGTCGAGAAGCTCGGCTTGATTCGGTATCTAGCCACCCCCCCCACGAGGGTTGCATGTGACACAAGGTCATTTTTATCGTGGGTTTCCTGAGCCCGTAGGCTCAGCCAAAAAATGCCCGTAGAACTCGTAAAAACGAGATCGGGTAGGTCATTCACCCCGGACGAGATTCTGCCCTTCGGCGGAACCTCGTCCGGGTTCCTTTCTGCTCAAAAGCAGAGTTCGACCGTCAAGCCGAGAAGCTCGGCTTGATTCGGTATCTAGCCACCCCCCACGAGGGTTGCATGTGACACAAGGTCATTTTTACGTGGGTTTCCTGAGCCCGTAGGCTCAGCCAAAAATGCCCGTAAAACCCGTATAAACGAGATCAGGTTGGTCATTCTCCCCGAACGAGATTCTGCCCTTCGGCGGAACCTCGTCCGGGTTCCTTTCTACTCAAAAGCAGAGAGTTCGACCGTCAAGCCGAGAAGCTCGGCTTGATTGGGTATCTAGCCCCCCCACGAGGGTTGCATGCGACACAAGGTCATTTTTATCGTGGGTTTCCTAAGCCCGTAGGCTCAGCCAAAAAATGCCCGTAGAACTCGTAAAAACGAGATCGGGTAGGTCATTCACCACGGACGAGATTCTGCCCTTCGGCGGAACCTCGTCCGGGTTCCTTTCTGCTCAAAAGCAGAGAGTTCGACCGTCAAGCCGAGAAACTCGGCTTGATTCGTCCCTCTCTCTTGAGAGGCGTAGTATACATAGTGTTAGGAAGAGTTCATTCTGTAATTATAGGTAAGGACCCATGACACCATCATTTCGACCATAACATACTACAGTTTTATTGCTTCTCAGATATCTTTGTTTGAATGTTTTTCTATTATCATATACGTCTCTTTCACTACTGTATTGTGTGGAGGTGTTGTAATGGATAATAGCTTGAAATGAGAAATCGGAGAGTCCAGATCAAATTCCAGTTGTGTTTGTTATATTCACTTACACGAAAATACCATCTGAAAAGGTATAAATCTACATCTTTTTCCCCTCAGCTACGGATTAAGTAGTAGGACTAGAAAATCAATAAATCATTACTATCTCCAACACATCCTTACAATCTAAAAACAAGAACAACATAAAGAAAAAATTGGGAACTCGGTTGATCTGTTCTACCCAACAAGGAATATTTACCCGACCTTGCACCAACAGATGACTACCTTTTTTGATCACTGCAAAATGCTTCAATGGGGAAAACTTTCTCTGATAAAAACCACTTTCAATAATTTGTCCAAATTTTTTCGCATCAAAACCTGCGGAATTTTACTCAAAAGGCGTTGAATAATTTCCTGATATGTGGCAGCAAGCCATTGCAAACAATGGTGAATATATAATACAAGATATCTTTGTGATTTCGATTGATTCGTTTTCTACAGTTTATTAAACACTTGCATGTTATTTAAAGCCAAAAAATACTTTTAGATTGTAAGATTATTTGAGGGGTAGGAGATAATAATGTTTTAGTGACATAAATTTTACTAATTAGCCAATAGCTGGAGAAGAGGTGAGTGCATGACTATATTTGCACATAAATAAATGTAACGAACCCAACTGAAATTAGAACTCGGCCCTCCGATTAACAATTCCGAGCTGTTATCCATTACACCATCAGCACATCCAAGTTTATAGTCCCTGGTATTTCCAAGGGGTCACACATCTAGGCACTGAACAGACTCGAAGTTTCTTTAATTCGGTCATCGTACGGAAACCGGTTTTTCAACGCTATATAACCGTAAGCCCTTTATTGAAATTGTTTGTACCTTGTTTTAAATCGTTTTTTTAAATATCACGAAGTGGAAAATTTTGTAAATCTTGCATTTAAACTGAGACAAATAGAATAAAACCTTCTTTCGACAAATAATTCTTTAATTGGTAGAATCAGTTTTATCCATATTATGAAAGTTAACAGGTTGCGTATGTGTGTGCATTTTATGGGGTGCTTGTTCAATATGTAGACAAAGATAGAAGCATCCAAAACTTAAGTCTCTACTACAGACGTTTATTGTTTTTATGGTGACTTTAGTAAAAAAAAAAAAAAAGTTCTCAATATCTCTTGGGTATGTCTGTTCTCTTTCTGATCCAGAAGTTAGGGTAGGTAACTATAAGTATCGTATCCATGTTCACCCTTGCGCAGAGTTGGAACAACTAAAGGAAAGTTTCTCTTTGCTTTATCGTTTGCGAGTTAAAAAATGGTTATGAAATATCCGTTTTCTTTTTCTTTGTCCAGAAGTTAGCGTAGGTCAGTATAAGCATCGTTACAATGATCGCGCTCAAGTCAGCCTTGCTCTGAATGGGAACAACCAAAGAGAAAGCTTGACGTAGTTCATAGATTGAGATTTTGGAAACCACGTGCGAGCGTCATGGATTGGAAAGTGGCAATAGACTTCAGTCGTCATTGTCTGGGGAAACTACGTTCCCAGTGGGAACGTAATTACCACGTGGTACTACATCATGGAGCAAGGGAGGAGAAAAGAAAGGGAGCCAGCGCCACCTAACGACGTTTGACGAAGCCAAGTGGAGTAATCACATTTCTAGTTCCTTTACTCTTAGCATCATGGGAAAAAAATTTTTTTTTTCTTATTTTTTCTTCTTCTTCTTCTTATTATTATTATTGTTGTTGTTGTTGTTGTTGTTATTTATCTATTTTATTTCATTTTCCCACAATAAAAAGTTGGGGAAGAAATACAATAAACTGTAACCGGCTTTTTGTTATATTTATCCTCCAGCTTTTTATATATACTACTGATTTCATCAATAAAATCGTTCAGGAGGTTTCAGCAATTAGATAAAAAAAAATGCATTTCGCCAATAAAAAAAGATCGGCTATCTCGATTTAGTTATGTGATAAATTAAGCTAGGGTTTTCTTTTATATCAATAAGCCTCTGAAGTGCATATCAAATGAGAAAGGATTACTGTTACACATTATTTCGAAATAATCCTAGAAGTAAATGACTGAGAACAGTGACAATTATTTTGGTTTAGTCGGGTGGGTATAAAATCAGTTAAATTAGAAACCTGAAATTCAGTCCATCCTGGAGGAAATCCTCTGGTTCCCATGGCGAAAGTCCGTCGAAGACCTCGTTCAACTTTGTGTGAAAATTCCGTTTGGGAATCTTGCAGGAATTGCAACAAACAGGGTACGAACTGAAAGTAGATAGATAGATAGATAGATAGATAGATAATCTCTTACTGTCTAACTGACTCATGAATGGACTGATATAGATATGTGGATATAAACAGGCTTAAATACAAATTCACAGGATTATCCATATATTCATACAAAACGTTATATTTAGTGGGTACACGTGTTTGAGCAGACATCCCTGCTATTTTAGACAGATAAATAATTGTTGTGGATTCCGGGGATGGAATCCTGTACAAATAAATAAACAACACCAGTAATTGAAATAGAAAAATATGTGTATTAAACGTAAGAATATAAACTTGAAATGGAGATTAGTAGTCCAGGAATGCGGGTTAGTAGAAAAGTATATGTACAAGTCTCTGTAAGTGAAGCCGTAATTATCTCTCTTTCCGGACTCTCGTATAACTCTGGATGAACACCCTGTCCCGACGTCTTTCTCACGCTATCTCTCCGTAGTATAAGTATAGTTTGGACGAGTCCATCTTGTGTACAAGGTGCGAGCCCCACAATAATAATGTATACTGCTCTAGCCATTGAAAATCTTAAAGAATACGTTTCCCGATAAGAACCGAATCTGTTTCTAATTCTAATCTGGGAAACTACTTTCAAGCCAAATGTGTTTTTTCCTTTGAGCTACTAGAAGCCGTCACAGCAAAGTGAAGTTTAATTACCCTACTTAAGAAATACATATTTCCCTTTGTGACATTTTAAATGTTATATCGGTTAACTTTATTTTCGACAGTAATTGTAAACATGTTTTTGTAATCCGACATTATTTTTTATTATGACCGTTAAATTTAGTGGCTAAATTTGTTTGACTAGTCATTGCTGTTATTTTAAACAGCGAAATTAATGACTAGAGATAATTTTTATAGTAATATGAAATAATGCCGGATTAAAAAAAAAATGCAATCATTACTTTAAAATTACTTTCTTTACGCTTCGAGTACGAAAATTAATTCATCAGATATAGACTTAGAAAGGTTCCATGGAGAGATGTAGATCTCTCGAGTGGGTTATTTCAACTTTTGGTGCTCAGGGTTAAACCACACTTGGCTCGAAAGTGCCTTCTCAGATTAAAAAAACAAAAACAAAAGGAATGCAAATTCGTTTCCTGTCAGGGGATACACGTTCTTTAATAAGACATTTGATCTGTAAGCCGGTAAACATTCGCCGTTTAAAATAAATAGGGCTGTCTACTCAAACACGTTTTTCCACTAAACATAACTTCTATAAAAATACAAAACAATGTCAGATTTTGAAACATTCATTGTTTTAAAAATATATATATATATGTGTGTGTGTGTGTGTATGTGAAAATTCTGATATAAATGAAATATATCTGTAAAAGATGATATGAATAAATACAAAAAGAAAAATTTTCGTTACCGACGCGTTTCGCTGCCTGAGTGACTGGTAAATGTACTTTTACTTTGCAACATGTATTTAAAAAACAAAGTGGAGGGAAAATATCATTAGGTTTTCAAAATTTTAAATTTAATAAATCTGTGTAAGTGAAGGTAAACTATGGAGGACGTTAAGCGATATAATTTAAGACTTACAAAAGTAAGTTGTAATTATTGTTACTGAATTTTTGTTTTCTTTCTTATATATATTTATTTATGCTTTAAGTTTTTTGTATATTATATTATTAATTTTTCACTCCATTTTTATATATATATGGTGTTGATTGTTATTTGATTGAAGTAAATTAAATGATGATATAAAGTTTGATTTAATTCCAATATATTTTACTAGTTTTCCCCATACCACCTCTATTTATTGTGTTAACACGTTGCTTCTCCTTTTTCTAACTCCCCACTCCTCTCTACAATAACATAAATCTGCAGAAAAATTTCTTCTAGGTCAAGTAATTTAAACTTTAATTCCTGTTCACTTGTGATTTATTTTTAAAATAATTTTTAACATATGATCTGTATAAATTTAAACCATTTTGTAATTTCGGTCTGATCAGGCAGGTATTAAAATCTTACCTGCTGAAATAAATTTATTACCGGAATTTTCGATGATGTGTTAAGTTTTTTCCTTTGATATATATATATATATATATATATATGTGTGTGTGTGTGTGTGTGTGTGTGTGTGTGTGTGTGTGTGTGTGTATATATATATATATATGTGTGTGTGTGTGTGTGTGTGTATATGTATATATATATATATATGTGTGTGTGTGTGTGTGTGTGTGTGAGAGAGAGAGAGAGATAGAGTGGGAAGGAGAAAATAAATATGCAGACGCCTGTCGTACTTTGTAACCTGCCGAGAATTCCACTAAACCAGGCGATATTTACAGTCTTACCTAGTGATTAAACTCACTTAACACTTATATCTACTAGCGTATTCACCCGTGAATGAAAATTTCGATTCGACATTTCTCGACGGTTTACCAAATACGATAAACATCGAGACAATCTCGAAGACTGCAACGGCTGATCGTATAGACAATAACAAACAAGTTGAGGACATTACGATCATGAGTCCCGTAACCTATTACGGTCACCAGTCCGCCATATGTACTTCAGTTATAACAACAGTGGTAAGTCTTGGGCAAGATAGCCTGAAGGTACCCAACCCTCTCTCAGGCTGATTTGAATTCGGAATTCTTCTTCTCTTAAAATGTTTGCGAACCAAGGCTATAGGATCCCGATATGTACTCATAGAGTATTTAAGAATGTAATGAACTCGACTGGATTTCCAACTCGGCACTCTGATTCCGCATTCCGTGCCGCTAACCATTACGCCACCGTGCATTTCGAATTAATCAATGAATTAATCAAAATTATTGAAATATATATATATATATATATATATATATATATAAAAAAAAACAGACCACTTTAAGGTACCATGTAATAAATTATTTCACCACCCTTTTAAAAGGACTGCGGATCATTTTACAAACAAAAAATGAAAAGAAAATTTACACATTTTTGAACCCCCAAAATCACACTTCCAAAGTAAAACAAAATAACAGCGTCTGTTTCTAGCCCCTTTTTTTTCTTTTTTTTTTTTTGTACAAAAAAAATTAGTGCCAGCTTCTCTCATAACTTCATTCTCTCTTTTTCTCTCTGTGGTTTTTTTCTTCTCTACCCCTTCGATATCAATATATAACTTCCGTTAAGTTAACCGTTTAAATGTGTCAATATCTGCTAACTCACTCATGTCTTCTCTCTCCCCCCTCACTTCCTCACTTCGTTAATTTACATATGTTTAATACGGCCCGTCAAAAATGTGTAAATTTTCTTTTCATTTTTTGTTTGGAAGTAAAGTCTGATGATCCGCAGTCCTTTTAAAAGGGCTGTGGTGAAATAATTTATTACATGGAACCTTAAAGTGGTGTTTTTGTTTAAATTATTTGCTCTGGATTTACATTGAGCTCTCTGGATTTTATCCTCCTTAGGTTTACCCATATAAACTATATATATATATATATATATATATATATATATATATATATATATATTAATAGGAATAGATAGGTTTGTCTATCGCACTGCTCTCACTTCTTCCCCGTCTTTTGAGTAGAGGTTTATCCATTGAATCCTGTTAGGATTGGGTTTCTAATTCTTTCTCTTAAGGTCTTCTCATTCTTTTTAAATTCTAGTAAGCCCCTGTGTTTTAGTAGAATCATCGCCTTGGTTGGAGTGAAATAATTAAAAAACATATAGACATATGAATAATTTGAGACACTATTTACATTGTTCGGACTATCGCACACATCTTTGTTGCCATATTTATCACAACGTTGTACGCTCAGGGCTTCTTCAGGTGGTTGGAATGTCGAACTGAACCCTTTATTTCACTCACTGGGGTAGACTGTTCTAGTTCCACGTGCCATGTCTAATGGATATCAGTTATCAGTTATCTCCTGTTAATTCCCCTCTCCAAGCTCCCCACCGCCTTAACCAGGTATTGAACTCACACTCTTTGGGTCCTGTCACTGAATCTAACTAACGCCTTTATACACTGTGCCATGTGTCCTTCAGGACGATAGTCCGAACAATGTAAATAGCGTACATAATACCTCATCTCAGAAATATAGACAGATACTGAATAATTTGAGATTTCGGACAATGATTTCCGTTATCGGAAAAATATTTAATCTCGCCCAAAGTCATGTAGATAGATACATAGATAAATAGGCAAGAAGGTAGGTAAGTAGGTAGGTAGGTAAAAGTGTGTGTTGTGTAGAAAAGATAAGTTCCAAAACACCTTGTTTTGAGATAGATAGATAGATAGATAGATAGATAGGTACCGCATTTTCAGTTATGTAAAAATGTAATAAACTATGAACCATTAATATGGTGTTCTTTACTAAAAGCCAACTCATAGTGCAACGCTTAACCAAAACTGGAGGCCTATCTCAAATCTCGTCGTTCTACTAGGAGAGAAGAATGTGAGTTTCGGTTTTGGTATGCAGCGGTTCGCAGCTGTAGTTGGCTTAAGGAAAATTTGCTTTTTACATTTGAAATGACTTTAGTTTTTTTTAATTGAATTAAGTTAAGGTTTATTTATTTTTACAATGTTATAAAAAGGAAGATTCAGTAGAATTAGCCAGTGCTTTACCGTTTCGTTTGGAACGAATGATACGACCATGAGATAAAGTAAAATCCATCCTCGTGACACACTGTTTTGCGATGGGTTATTCGTCAGTTGCTTCATCACTTGACAGTACAGCTCATCCCTAGTATCAATAAAGAGAAGAAAAAAAAACACAACTCATATGACATATTGATTTATTTCTAACACCTTCATTTTTTTTTCAGAAAAATAAATAAACGTGATGTTAAGAACCACTCGTTAAATGTGTGAGAATGACCAATAAAAAGCCATAACGTATAAAACTGTAAAGAAAATAAATTGAAGGCACGTTAGTTCGTGACAAAGACTACCAATTTAGTTTCATGTTGAAACCTACCTGATCGACGTCTTAGTCTTGCTTGCAAGACACTGACAGTTTGATCTTTAAGAATTTAAAGCACGTGACGTTGTTTATCTAAAATCATCTCTTCAGGTATGTATTTTTTAGTGCAGAGGTTCCCGCGTGTGAAAAGTTAGTAGTCAAGAGAAGAAAAGAAAAGAGAGAAGAAAAAAAAATGGAGTGAACAAGAATCAGGATTTTTATTCTCATCGGTGTTTATTCACAAATCCACGAAAGAGAAGTAAACATTTGATAACCAACAGATGCAAAATCCACTTTCACATACAACGAGTCTCAACTTGTTATCGCGAGATTTATTAATAAAAGCGATTAAAACATGATCGGTAATGTGAAGTGGCCGAAAGGATATGACAAAAGAACATCGAAGTGACAGAACCCTTTCAAATTCTGTTGTTTTCGCTGTTATCACTCCAATCTATCGCGCTTAGGAAAAGCATGAACTTAAGCTTTCCTGAAACTTGTTTTACCTGTTTGTTATATTGCTGACAAGAGAAAAAGATTAAAGACGTTCCTGCACAATCCATTTTCATAATAACGCCTTTGCTTGTACTTAACTCTGACAAGGATGTAACTATTTAATATAAAATGGCTTCGTTGATGACTAACAGTGTTAAGAATTTATTTTTCCATGTCGGCTGCGATCGATATCTTTGCAATGTTTTCCACTTAAAGAATATAGTACAGTGTAACCCGGATATAAGAAACCCGGATATAAGAGAAACCCGGATATAAGAGAAATCCGGATATAAGAGAGATTTTCTCTGGTCCCAAATTAGAGCCTGTGTTAATGTATATAAAATAGACCAAACCCGGATATAAGAGAAACCCGAATATAAGAGACTTCTTCTCCGGTCACGACAACTCTCTTATATCCGGGTTACACTGTACAATGTTCCAGTTCTTCGCTAAGAGGCGAGTCACGATATCAAGTGTTATACAGCAGTTATCTCCCTTTATATTTTTTCTTCAACAACAAGAGGATGTAAAGTCATAAGATGTGAATCTAATTCTAAAAACATATTTATAAGTGATATAAATTTGATTAACAAACAAGAGTTAGAAGTTTAGATTAATAGTTAGATGTTTATTCATACAATATACAGAAAAATCAATTCTGAAAAGTTACTTTTTCTCTTTATATTCATCTGAAAATCTTGTCACAAACAATTGTGAGAGATAACGAATGAATGTTACACTGAAAGATAACCGTGTATATATTCATTGTTTATAGGTAATTGATGACCTATTAAGAAATAACAATTTGAAATGTTTTTGTTAATAACTTCATTGGCGATTTCTTTTATTATCTACTATTATTTTATTTTATTTTTATTGATCTGCTATTATTTTAATGCCATGCGTTGGTGAGCCTAAAGAAGAGCAGTCATCCCCGGGTTTTTGTTTCTAGTTATTTACGTGAATTAGTATAATTAGTATAATTAATTAACACGAAAAATTAGTAGTTCCATTTATACTTAAATTAAGCAACGAGAAAGTTTCGAGGAAATGGAAATAAAAAGGAAAATTATACAGAAAGAGAATACGCAAACAAGGAAAGAAGGTTTGAAAAATTTGACACTCACAAAGCATATTGAAGGCAAGAGAGGTAGAGGAAATCAACGAGTTATCTACCTAATTATGTTGTGTAACTGAATGGCAGAATATAATATAATATAAAGTATAAATACATTTTAGGGAATATACATTTGCATCAATTTATTCACTTTTAACACTAAAAGATTCAATCATAATTTTCTATATTTTATTGTAGATTACATATTGTTATTGTAATTAATATGAAATTTTGTTTACTATTGAAATCGTATTGCTACTTCCTCCAAGTAAGGTGATATATTTTTACTTTCATACTAAATAACTTTAAACTATATATAAATCGTTCAAAGATCTTGATGGTCTTTCATGCACGTACACTATTGGTTATAGAATATACCACAGAAACTATAAGTTAGTGATATACCATTAGTGACTGACTTAATTTCTTTGTCAGAATTTTTAAAATGAAATATCATTCTTATATGGCTTTCTATTTAGACCGGCATGTTCATAATTGTTATACTCATGTTTTGGCTAGTGTAACCTCCAGTTTACGTCAGGTATCTTTTATATTCTGAAACCTTTCAGGATTTTGAATCAAACCCTTTATTCAATCGATCATGGTAGGTTGTTCCCATTCTGCTTTCTATGCTTAGGAGATATCTTGTATCAGTTAATTTTCTGTAGTTTGTGTTCCACTAAGCCAAAATATATAAAATTGTCAGTATCCTAACCAGGGATTGAACTCACAACTGCCAAGGAATCAGGTATGTTTTAACCAACAGTAATCTACTAGGCAATGTCATTTGAACAATCATGTGTAATTTTGGAGTGACATGTGTTGATGACAAACCTTTTCCTTCCATGCATGTTTAGCCATGCTTGACTTTAATGTGTCCTCTCAAACTACAATATTGAAGGCAAGAGAAGTAGAGAAAAGCAGCGTGTTATCTACCTAATTATGTTGTGTAACTAAATGGCAGTAGAGGGATGCGGAATGATACTAAAAAACACACAGCTAAGTGGCGACTGATAGAAATTTGTGGAGAGCTATGATCACCCACTTTCTGAAGGGACACAACTCATAGAAGAAGAATACACTGAAAATTTTCTTTGAACTTTACTATGAAACTATGAATCAGTTACTCTTATGGATTTTTATAGTAATTAAATTGTAAATTTAATAGCATTTTATCATTAATAATTGTCTTCTTTTCTTGCTTTCATTTTTGTACGCTTACGCTTTGTTGGCTTTAGTAGTAATCTTTTCTTTATATTTTGTAGATGTTTTCCAGTTTTGAGATGCTGTTTAGAGGAATGGTAAATTCTGTGACTGACTTGAACTTCACAAACGCTAGGTACGTTGTTGATACCATGTCCATTCGGAACGAAGACGTTCATGACTCTTATCTGGGAACTACTATGAATTCTTAGGAAAGATAATGTAGGATATTTCTATTGACTTCTCCAAGATTTGGAATTCAGAGATTTCATGCTCTTAGATTGGTTGCCACGCAAAGCTAAAGAGCCCACTCTACCCTGCTATTTAACCTATATCTAGAGAGACACACATGAATTCATGGTTTTCCCAATGGAATTTACTATCGACTTACCGATTCCACTTTCTATGCTATTATCTTTGGTTTGATTTGTGCAGCTTTAAGTTGCTTTTATGTTTTCAAATAAACCAATTTACCATAATTGTTTTTTGTCTTGAATTAGCTTATAACCTTATAAGTCAGTTTTACGACCATTTAGTTTTCTTACAAATGTTTGATGCTTACAAACAATTCAAAATGCAAGTAAATAGTGTTTAGGATTATCACTTTTTCATACTTGATAATCTCTAAAATTGATTTAACTCCAGTTGCTAGTTACTACGTTTACTATAGTTCTGGCACAAGGTCACAAGTATGGGGCATGCAGTAAGGTATTTAATGGTAATGGTCAACCAAACTATATCATATCGTGGCGCCCTATGCCAGTGCAGAGTTTGTGCTAAAAAAAAAACAAAAAAAAATAACCAAATATAGATAGTTGCAGTGTAATAGCATTATTTCTGTTCATCCTCACAGTACTACTGGTACCGTGTATACTATTACTGTCTGTCGCAAATTTTCCTTCTCCCAGATTGGTGGCCAATCTACTTGCGATTTAAGCCATGATAGTTACTATTCAAGATTAGACTTACACAGTATATCGTCTTATATTCGAGTATATACGGTATCTTTTTTTTACTGTAATGTAGTGTGTATCATTTATTAAGCCTTGTCTGGCACAAAGGCAATGTATTTGGAGTAATTAGCTAAAATCGAACTTTAGCGAAGTGGTTTGCCCAATGACCTTATTAACTCTCACGTTATGCTATGCATATTTATTATCTGTTATATTATGAGTCCGGGTAAAATAAGTTGCCTTTTATTATAAATATTAGTTATTGATTTTTTGTGTCGTCCTTGGAATCATTTTACCTAGTCATCTACCAAAATATGGAAATACAATAGGATCTAAAAGCTTATTTCAAATAAGAGCATAGAAATGACAAGAAAAAAGTAAACGAAGCATTTTTTTTTTTTACCTGATGTCAGATTTATACATTCCAAGACCGCAGACGAACTGGATTTTTTCCAAAATAGTCTGCGGATAGTTTCGAAGAAAAGCCACATCTTTCATATCACACATGGGATTCTTGGTCTGTATTAAACAGGAGAAGGAAAAAAAACAATTTAAACCAAACAATTTAATGCAACTGAGCATTTAAGGATGAAGCTTGGGTGACAATACGAAATATACTGCGTTTAGTACCGCTAATTTCTTTCAGATGTTATTTACTTTGATTGGACTTGAGTCCCAGGGTGCCACCCCCCAAAAACAATACTTTTCTTTCCGGAAGAGAGCTAGAGTCATTACCTGACACCAGAGGCTTTCCCAAAAAAAGAAGTACTGAGTGGTCTTGAGCAATATTTGCCCCTAGTCCGCGTACATATTGGCTATCAACCCACTTTAAATTCGACTTTCCATTAGAGTTGGCGTGCAGTTAAATACCTAATTAGCTTAGCTTTAGTACAAGGCTACATGTGCAGGCTACTCAGTGAGAATCGAACTCATTAGGAATATTCGACTAGACCAGGCTCCTTAACAATTACTCGACCGCGAGGCACAAACATTTTAACAGCTTATCTGCAAAATAATATAATGTAATCTACGAACGATAACTGCTTCAGAGCGGACAGTATTCTTTCCACCCTACTAGTGATTTGTGTTCGAACAGAGTTAGAGCCTGGTTTTACTGTAGACAGGCTTGACTTTCCAACATGAAAGATTAACGTAACATAATCTATTGCATTTCAATCCATTTTTACGGTAGTGAACATTATAAACACTCACAAATTTAGATCATCCCTGAATTGTGTTCCCTCTGTCCGTGGACCTCGAATACACGCCGACTGCATTCCCTATAGAAGTGTAAGACTCCACTAAAAATGGCCACCTTCAGAGTGGACGCTTGCTTGTACTTTTATTTATAGACTCAAGTATAAAGCCGACCAATGTTTACCTACAGACCTGATCAATAAGAGTACTAAAATGTTATGTAATATCTCATGTATAAAGCCGACCAATGTTTACTTAGAGACCCGATCATTAAGAGAACTGAACTGTCCTGTAATATCAGTGAATGCTAGTCAATCTTGTCACAGTTGGAAAAGAAACTTAAAGCAACAGACATGTGGTTCTACAGAAGGATGCTGAGGATGCCATGGACTGAACATGTGAGCAACGAACAAATTTTAGAGAAAAAAGAAAATTTATATTCGACATAAGAAAGAGACAATTGAAATTTCAAGAACACATAGTGAGAAAAGAGAGAGTGGAAAATTTGACACTCACAAAACATATTGAAGGCAAGGGAGACAGCGGAAAACAGCGAACATCTTACCTAACGAGCTTGTGTAAATGATTGCCAAAACAGTAAAAAAATTAAAACTTACTAAGAGTGATAAAGGATAGGAAACTGAGGAGAGCCATAATCACCAACGTCCTGGGTGTGACGATAAACTACATCCGCGTCTTGTGTAAGACGTTAAACTGCATCCAACAGCAAGGCCTCTGATCAGGGGGTTTTGTGGAGCGTGTAATTACCTCTTAATTGCTGGTATTCCCAGGTCCACCCTGATACAGGGTGGTAGAACCTGCTAGGGTTCCAGGTATGGGCAAATAGTTAACCCCCAAACTGCGTTCGAAACACTATGAAAGGGTAAAAATAGGTTTAAATACCAGCAATGCATTTTCGTAAAGATATTACCAGCAATAAATTTTTGAAGAAAAAATTATTACCAGAAATATATTTAAAAATAAAATATTACCAGCAATGCATTTTGGAAAAAATATTACCAGCAATTCATTTTTTGAAAAAAATCTATTACCATCAATAAAAATCATGTCGGCATTAAATAATCCATTGTGGTTGATATGACGTAAATCAAACCAAACCAAACCATAATCACCAATACCTTGAAAGGATGTGGCATATAGAAAAGAAGTGTCACTGTGAGGAGCAAAATCATGAGTAACTAGAGCATAGAAATCCAGAAATAAGAATATAAAGATATACATACCATCTCACAATACTTTTTAGCAGCGTCATCGACATCTTTTTTGGTGTATTTCTTATTGAAGTTTTCTCGCAGATATACCACCAACAGAGGACAAGACTAAATTTAAAAGAGAAAAAAGTAGAATTAAGAAGGCAATATAAATTAATGTAAAAAATAATGTTTTTGCAGCAACTCTTCATCCGAGAGCATTTTTAACCTTTCCTCTGCGTATATCAGAATAAAAACTACAATTTTACGGAACTGAATAACAAATCAATATCAAGACGGATTTATGCCTTTCCCAATGGAATTTGAAATCAGCTTACGGATTCCACTTGCTACGCTATTATCGGACACTTTATCTTTGTTTTGATCGATGCAGATTTAAGTTGTTTTTTTTTTTTTCAATTAAACCTCTTTATCATAATTTAGACGTTCATCAACTTCATAAAATGGTATTCTTAAAATAAAATAAAAATTGGAATTGATATCTGAAAACCACGTTTCAACCGTCTTTTAAACGGATGGATTTCGGTCGATTTCTTCTAAATTATTTTATTTATATCTGTCAGCAATCTTTAGTATATACACTTGAGGAAAGAAGAAAAACTTATTGACCAAGACATTATGATAAAATAACAAAGATGGAGATTCTAGTCGGAATAATGTGATTTCAGACAATGAGTTATAATAAATTATATGTCACGTCGCTAGCGAATATAAGAAACACTCTCATGAATGCTATCAAATTTTTTTTTGGTGGGGGGGGTAGTTGTAATGACTTAAATATAATATTAGTTGTTCATTAAGAATTTTTAGCGGTTTAAAAATATTTAAGTGGGGGTCGCCATGGAAAACTTTTACTTTTATTTACTTATTTTATTATATTTTTATGTTACTTATTATATTTTATTTATTTATTACAATTTGCCAAACATTTAAGTGGAAAATAGAAGACTTGGAAATAAGGATTTGCTATAATGACTTTCACCAGAATTCAGACATGATTGCTGTTATCGAAAAAATATTTAATCTCGCCCAAATTTGGATAGATAGATAGATAGATAGATAGATAGATAGATAGATAGATAGATAGATAGATAGATAGATAAAAAAGCGATGAACAGTCCGAGATAGATAGATAGATAGATAGATAGATAGATAGATAGATAGATAGATAGATAGATAGATAAAAAAGCGATGAACAGTCCGAGATAGATAGATAGATAGATAGATAGATAGATAGATAGATAGATAGATAGATAGATAGATAGATATATAGATAGATAGATAGATAGATAAAAAAGCGATGAACAGTCCGAGATAGATAGATAGATAGATAGATAGATAGATAGATAGATAGATAGATAAAAAACGATGAACAGTCCGAGATAGATAGATAGATAGATAGATAGATAGATAGATAGATAGATAGATAAGGAGAGAGAGAGAAATATGAACAGCCTGAGATAGATAACCATGGCTTGTAAATAATTTTTATCTAGATCTTGCGACATTCTAAGTAAATTTTACGCTATTTTCGTTCAATTTGGGCTAATGCCCTTTTATAATGGTAGAAATTATAATGGCAATAATGAAACAAAAGGGAATTCATTAAATTTGTTTTTCTTTTAATATGAAATGAAAGAAATAGCGTAAGCAAACAGGCGAAGCAAAACTTGCATAGACAAATAAATATGAATGTAGAATTAATGATATTGATTCAACGCAGATAATGCAGATACTATGAGGAGCAGTAGGAGCTGCTGTTTTTAAATCCCCTTTCCATTTTACACACACACACACACACACACACACACACACACACATATATATATATATATATATATATATATATATATATATATATTGACAATGAGGTCAACATCAATCGACGGTAGTTTCAACGAAATTTCATGCCATGTGCGATGTGAAGATACTTCGATACGTAACCGTTAACGCTCACCATATAATAGGACTTATTACCCATAATGCACCACTCACCAGCATATATAAATGGTCGAGTCGAAACCACACATATGGCGTCCTCATTGTCCACTTTTATATTTCCATACACAATCTCTGGAGCACTTTTACCACATACTATACTATATTTATGGATAAATGTGCTCAATATATATATATATATATATATATATATATATATATATATATATATAATGACCCGTCTTTAAAACTTCTCTCTGTTAAGTTTGAATCCCCCCTTCATCTTTAGACCTTCCTGTTCTTCTCTCGTCTGTTACCCCTCCCTATACCTTTCATTTACTCTAACATTCGTCCCACACTATCATACATACACTCTCACTAAATTTTATTTTTTATTCCCGGAGTTGTTTTTTCTGTTTTCTTTTTGAATTTGTAGGTCTGATGAATTGGATCGTATTTACGATTCCAATGGAATAAATTATGATCATGGAATATTAGTGCTTAAGCCTTTTTATTATATCCTTACTCTGTCCTGGACATTGAGTTCTACCTGGATTCTATCCTCTTGAATTTTTTTGTTAAAAAAATATATATGTATGTGTGTGCATCGATGTATATATATTTATATATTTTGCATATGTATGTGTATATTTACCACTAATATTATCTATCTATCTATCTATCTATCTATCTATCTATATATATATATATATATATATATATATATATAGTAATGATAAAATATGGTAATCTGTATGGAATTTCCAGGAGGAGATAGATCCAGGGATAGCTCTATGTCAAAAGACAGAGAAGAATTATTATTAATTTGTTTGTAGGTTTTGAAAATTGAGAGCTGCTCTCGTGAAATAAAATTATTACCTATGAGATTTTAAGTGTTTGATATTCTTCAATATATATATATATATTTTCTTTTCTCAATAATTTTGTAGTTTTTAAACTTAATAGTGATTAAATTTGGATTTTAAAAATTGCCAGTTTTTAATTTTAATATTAAATTTTTATCATGTAAATTTATAATTATTAGTTAGTATAAATTAATTTTAATATTACACGTATTTAAAGATCTGAATAGCTATTAGAGCAGGATTTCGTTGTCAAGCTTTTGAATCTTTCTATACTTCGTTTTTGATTGGTTATTCTAGCTTTTGTAACAATGTTTCCCCCTAGTGTAGGATCGTTAATTAATCTGAAAGTTTTAAAACCATTTATTTTCTTTTCAACATCATCACTTGATAAGACACAGAGTGTGTTGAAACAAAATGGCTATTTTTATAACATACTTATGTTATAAATTTTTTTATAAAAAATAATTATATATATATATATATATATATATATATATATATATATATACAGAGAGAACGAAAGAGAAAGAGAAAGAGAGAACGAGAGGAGAGAAAGAGAGTTATATCCATAATTGAACTTACCCCGATAATTTCGATGTTGGAATCATCAGCATCGGGCAGATCTCCCATGATTCTTAGAATGGTAACCCATGATGCTAAGGAGGCCTTTAAATACAAAATGAAACTTCTTTTTATGTGTTTCTGAATATTTGCCTCACATAAAAATACAATGAACAATAATAGTAATTGAAGCATTGAAAATAATATTTCAGTTAACATATAAAACTCAAGATGTGTATTTGCTAGATGGAAACCCTGAAAATTAATTAAATAAAAGATGGTCACCTATCCGTGTGTGCAGCTGTACGCAAAAACAACAACATCAGAAACGTACATATCCCATCATATATGTTATATCTTTGCCAACGAAGCGGTTTTTGTTTAATTTAGAAAAAACTAATTTTCATATTCATTTGTAAAAATCAATCTTAAAAATAACTGTGTTTTTTTTTATTAATTTCAAACTTGTTCGTTGTGAGTTTTATAAATAAGCAGTTAATAGTTTTTTTATTGGTTAAATTACTTAGTTATCTAAATAAAGCCATTTTCTGCACTGAAAGTAGTAACAACATTTATATTTCGATAGCTTCGTTGGAGTAACGGAAATAAGCGATTTACAAAGGGAAGTAACAGCGTCGATATTTTAAAATACATTTTGAAAAATCTAACAAATGTTATTTTTCATTGTATTTTCGTAACAGTTTGTCATAGAAAACTGGTATGTCCCGGAAAGTGACATATTTGTTCGAAGTAGCAAAGTGGTTTTGCACTACTGTAACCGAGTAGAACAATCTAGCAGGTAACCGTAATGGACTGGTCCTCGTCGTAGTGGTAGGCAATAGGCGTAGACAATAGGCGCCGTCCCTGTCAGTCTGTATTTATGGCTGACACCAGCCAATCATATTACTGTGAGGGGGGAACCCAGGTGTATGCATATTCATTACATCAAAAACAATAATATAAGTTAATCTTGTTGAATTTATTTGGTTATATTCATTGCAAAAAAAAAACTGACATGTCATCTTTAAAAAACAGTCCACGACCATTCGATAACTTTTGTACCATGATGTCCGCATGACGGAAATGCGGAACCTAGAAGACACCGACTGCCTCTATTGTAAAGGGATAAAACGGAGCCACTCTCCAAAAAAAAGGGGGTTATTTTTAGCCGTGCGTACTGATCTGGGATTTTTTAGAATGGGATCCTGTGAGCTAACTGGTTCAAGAATACTGGAGATTGAATGGACATGTGAACTGCAACACTCTACTTTAGAACTTACATCGGCTAGACAGGCAAGATATGGTCAATCACGCGATGCTCTAACATTTTTAGACAAACATTTAAACTTATAAAATCATACATCATTTCAATACTGGTCATATTCGGACTTAAATAAATAAATTCAGAAACACTTCTAAACACTTCAAAATATTTGCTGCATTCAGCGTATGAAACGCGTTTGCAAGCGTAACTTTTGTTGAATATCGTTAATACAAATGTTCTTTAAGAATTATATCAAGGAAAATTTATTGAAACAAAACAAGTTCAGTTGACCACTGATAGCAATTCCAGAACAACGTAACTATAAACAATTTTTTCTATCCTCTGACAGCCGCAATGATGGAGAAAGCATTACCACGAACCATCGCCAGTGAAACACGCTGCAAGAGCCACTCCGTTTCGCGGGGTTCGTCCCTTAATCGAGACGCAATCGCGGTAATCCTCCGATGGAACGCCATCGAACGTGGACCAATAACCCCTGAAATCTCCACTGCCACAGGAGTAAAAAATATCTATCAGCAAGAGAAGAATATTTAACAATTTTTTCATCTCTGTGTCCCGGGCGACGGATCCCGGCTCAACCGCGGAACTGATCAAATTACCGACAGAAAATGTATCCGCACAGGTCGCATCCCAAATCAACGACTTCCTCATATTAAAAGGGAAAATGGTAATGCCATCTGACCACTTTCCATCACCACGGTCGAGGCCTACGGGTTCGATTTGGGAATTTAAACAATTCAACATTTTTCTTATTTTGGGGCAGTAAACATGTTTCTTAAACAGTTTAAACATTTAAACTATTCCGCCGTTTCCAATTCAAATACTATCAGGGTCAGCCCTAAATTTATTTCCATACATAATTGTCCAAAGGCAGTAAGTGAGGGTCAGTCAGTTCGAAAGACTCAAAAACATCGACATGGCTGCAAAACACCTGATGCTACACTAAAATTTAGGTAACGTACTTAAGGGTTTACTAATATATTGTCTGTGTATACCCGTTATATGAAAACGAATGGGATTTCTCCTCCGTAAGTGGAGAGCATTTACACTGAATATGACTTAATATAAACAACTCAAATGGCAATATGTTGACATTGATTCGGATGGTGAAAATGAACAAGCATTACATGGATTACCAAAATGTCTAGCGCGGGAATTGGTGGCTGACAGAAGCTGTCAAGACTATCACTATTCATCAAATAATTAACCCCAAAGACTGTGAAAACAAAAAAATTAAATCTGACAGAAAAAGAAAAGGCGGCGATATTGTTGGGTGTGGATCAATTCAATAATATAAAAGTAAAAACATAAGTCTGCCAAACATTAGACAGAAGCAAAGGTCTAATAGAGAGGTCCTGAGCTAAACCTTTCCACAACCGATGAGAGGAAAATTGATCTAAATATCAACGGGGTTATAGACTTAAGAAGAATAAACAAAAATATAACTCAAACTATTTAAAACAAATACATACATAGTCACATTAATCAGCCCAGAATACCAAAATAAATGAAAATAGTTTAAACCGTCGGGAAAGTGAATCAGTACATATGAGTCAAGTCACGAGATCCAATTGTGGGGTACAGCGTACCCGGATTAAAAGGGGAATTTAATATGGGATACCCTGCCCACAAAATACAACGCAAATTTCAAGAAAAGACAACACAATAAGGAACGTTTGTAGAAAATAGAACATTGTATATTTAATGTCATTCATGCAGAATAAACAAATTTGTATATTTTTATATCTTGTTGAATAGAGTAAAAAAGATTAATGCTTTAATACGTTTAAGAAAATGTGATTTGAACAAAAAATGTCTATGTGTTCGCTGTCTTTCAACAGAGTAGTAGAGTAATGTCTGTTTCTTTTGTTTTTGTGTATCCGCCGAGTAGGTGGAAAGGAAAAAGGGGTGATCAATTTAAGTTGAAAAAGAGAGTGTGAGTGAGAAATAAAAGATAAGAGGAAAATGTACTTATCGGGTTGAATTGTTTTGGAGTCAGTTGTAATTTTGTTGTTGTTGTTTTCCTTTCCTACCCCACTTTCTGCTCTTAGTGTCTGGTTGAGTCAGTGACGGACCTGACTGTCAGTCTGCTGTCCTCTATGATCTCTGCGCCCTTCTGACTCGTGATTTGACTTGAGTCTCTCTATTTATAGCTGACTTTTTTTTTCACACTGGATCGTTATCTTTTTTTTAGTTTAGCAAATCGCCTCCTTTCATTGGTCAGAAAATTAATTCACACCTTATTGCGAAATCTATTTTTAGTCGTTTTGATCCGATTTTGCGGGTGTGCAAATCTACTTTGTGTTTTTCAGTTATTTGTTGGAATGATATAGGATTTGTATCCTATACAATCAACTCGTGTATCCCCATGGCCTAGTGGATAAAAGCGTTGGTTGGATCCATTGACTTTTCCATTTTTTTTTTTTAAATTCTTCGTTGCCCAAATAAGTTTTAAGGAAAATGGAAAAGAAAAGGAAGCATTTGTCTAGAATCAAAAGGAGACAGTTGAAATATTTGGATACGTAATGAGGAAACGGAGCTTGGAAAATCAGACACCCACATGACATATTGAATGCACGAGAAGCAGAGAAAAACAACGAGTAACATAATTCATGAGTTCGTGTAAATGGATGAAAGAACTCGATCAACTGGGAAGAATAATAAACATTTCTAAGGGCTAAAAGGAATAGGCAGTTAGACAGATCAATGATCATCAATGTCCTGAAGGGACACGGCACATAAAAGAATAAGAATATCTACGACTGTCCCAAAATAATTTCTAACTGAACTCTTTATTTCGTCTACCGAAGTAGTCTGCTCTCGGTCCACGTGCCATGCCTTTTCCGGGTATCACAGTTATCTCCCTTTACCTCAACCCTCCAAGTTTTTTTTTTTTTTGGTCAACACTGCAGTAGCGAGAAGTATTAAGTATGGGAAGCCGTTGCTTCTCAAATTCACTCTCGCGTGGTCGTGTGTGACGTCATGAGCTGCGATGCGATTTTCGCTTCCAGCGTCTTATATGCACGTGTTTATCGTTGCTAGGAAATCATCCATGTAAACAGAAACAGACTATCATCACATTGTCCGTGTATTGCTTAATATGTTGTACAGTAATTGACATCTTTGATAATGGCTTATGTAAGTCGAAAGCTTACATTGGATTAAAAATATGGATCAATATTGTGATTTTCTTTCTTCGTTTAAGGATAATGTTATCAAGCTTATCAGACATTATGAAAAGAATTTACATAAAATAAATAGACAACACTTGTCTATATTATTTAATGAAACATGTATGAAAGAAAAAATGCTGCCTAAATACACACAATATATATATATATATATATATATATATATATATATATATATATATATATATATATATATATATATTAAAAAGTGCAATTATAATTTATAAATTCATGAATCATTCATACCAAAAACAAATATAGATGATTCATGAATTTATAAATTATAATTGTACCTTTTAATTGAAATTAAAATAACTGATCCAACGTGCAACTTTCGGATAATAAGTGTGACATTACTGTAATTATTGAACAATATAATTCATGCCATATTGACGGAAAATCTACCAGTAAAAAAGAATTCTCTTATTGCTATATTTGTACAAAAACGCACAACCTCAAAATTTAAATTCAAACTCAGCGTTGCGACCGCCCCTTCCAAAACAATAATACATTTCTCATAGCATTTTTTCGGATTAAATCTCTATTTTCGTTGTCCTTTTATTACCGAGAAGTGAAAACAAGAACAAAATCTACTTTCATACCTGATGATGTCTGTTGGAACAGACGAAAACTTGTAAAAAAATTAAAAAGACCTTATGCAACTGGAATTTATAAACAGGGATCATACCATTCATATGCAGGTTCGGGGTTGGTGTATCTTATTTATATGTTTGCGATGATGTATTCTCGCCATTTAAATCATTAACCTCTATATTTGTTTTTTGTATGAATGATTCATGAATATATATATATATATATATATATATATATATATATATATATATATATATATATATATATATATATATAGTATTCAGTAGATGGTGGTTGCCATGTCTCGAGCATTAATGTCCTTGTCTTACCATCAGACTACTCGAATCCTATGAACAACTATAAATAAGCGTGTTGGTATCAGCGGATTTCCGGGATTTGCAGAGGTAGTTCATCATTAGAATAAACGTATATGAGAATGGGAAAAACTATGAAACCAAGAATATGAGTGGGAAGCAATAAAAACTCCAGCAAAGTAATGTTAAAATAGAAACGCCAGCACAATAAATAGTTGAAAGACTCATAAACGTTAAGCTGAAGGAGCTCATCCGGTAAGAGTAATTTATTTATAAATTTATAATATGTTAAATATGTTTGTTTGGCCTATTTATATGGCTGGTTTATTTACAAATAAACATTTATGTCTACTTAGGTTGTATGCATAAAATGATGGTGTATCTATCGCTTTGAATGGGTTCATTTAAATATGTGTTTATGTACACATTACTCTGTGTGTACAGTTTAACTTCGTACAATGAAACTTAAGAGATGTTTACAGTGTAAGAAAAGAAAACTTGCAGCAAAATTTAAACTAAAATTTCCCATCAACCATTACACCAAACTAGATGCAGAACAAAGAGTATACTGTCGGCTATTAATACACACTTGTTTTTCAAGAATATCTTCGAAAATATGTCAGATTTGGTGCGCGCGCAAATAAACCCTAAAAGCATCTCCCAACATACTCCTTTCGCAATATCTACAATGTCGGAAACAGAATTTGACATGAGCAATGTCATCCAGAGAAACCAAAGAGAGTGGCGCTGCCAACAAAAAGGGAGATCAGGGATTAATAAGTCTATCAAAACTGTTGATACTGAGTCTATTGCAGTTTTGATAAGCGCAATGATATCAGTTGAGCTAAATGCGGACACTGAGACCATCGATACGATCGTGCATGATTATTAAATCATCAATCGGGTCGTCAAGGTATGTCCTCACTGAATCAATGACGGCCAAAAAACAGGAAGTGCTCAAGTATCTTTTTCGATATTCTCTGACGTCAAAATCATCAATCGGGGCGTCAAGGTATATCCTCACTAAATCAATGAAGGTCAAAAATCAGGAAGTGCTCAAGTATCTTTTACGATATTCTCTGACGTCAAAATCTTTGATGATGTTTTGAAGCGACGAAACGACTGGAACTTTGAGGAGTTATGGTTTAATATCAGTGAAAACTTCAGCACCAAACTTCCAGCTCAGGTCAGTGTCGTGGATATCATTGATTCCAAACAGAAAAGCTACCATATTCTTGTGCAAGTTTGGAGAAGGGTAAGGGCTGATGCCTGCCACAATGACTTCAGGGGTCATGCTTTCCCATGTAGTTCAACTACCTAGAATGCAACAATGTATGAACTTAGAATGGTGCTTCCAGCTACACAGCGAATAAAATGAACAAGTTATGCAATGCTAAATTTAATTATTTCTAGCTAATGGATTTCTGTCCCTCCTCAAGCCTGGACATGAACCCGCTAGACTATGACGTGTGAAGCATTTTCGATCAGGCAAGCTTCAAGTCTTAAAGCTCAAATAGTGGAGGACTAAGAAGTCCAAGGACATTGTAATTAACAATCGAGGACGTTTTCGAGGTCAGGGGTTATTTACAATTAATGCACGCTACATGGAATGAATTATTTTACTTCATATTTTCTACATCTTTTTGTATTAATAAAACGCATTTATGCCTAATAGACAAGTATCGAAGGTCGCAGCAATTTTGATGACTTTGCAACCCCCCGCCTTGGTCAATTTTTAAACAGAAATGAACTGATACAAACTTGGATGGAAATAAACTGCGTAGAAATGTGAGGACGGAATACGAGAGAGCAAAAGAAGAGTTCGCCAGACCTCTGAGTTTGCTGGTGCTCGACTTGGCAATCTCTCTCCTCGAAGGCAAAGAAGAACAAGGGCGACACTATGCCGAAGAGCAGTCTTGTCTGGAGAGGTAGACAACGACCTGAGCCCGTGTATACTGTGTCTCCCTGCAATTTTTGCTCGAGCCCACGGGCTCGGAATCGTCCCACGTAAAATAACCGGCCTTGTGGAGACGTCTTGAGTAAATACCGAGACAGCAAACGCCTTATTAAGCGTTCGTTACAGCCAATACTGTAGTAATCTGCAGCTTGACTTACTCTAAAAGTGGACTGAACTCAACTAAGTAATAGACACATTACAACAGCTTAGAAGGTAATCAGAGTATAATAATCTTTTTTAACATATCGAGTTAGATTAGAAAGATGCCTTTGTTCAAAGCCTTTTATGTTTCTTAATATAGGTAATCAAATGGTACCTTACCAACTGAATGCTTTTTTCTTTATGATGCAAAAGCGGAGAGGTCAACGGTATGCATATATAATTCTGCGGATTTATTCCTTTGTGTTCAAATCTGGTCGCGGCATACACGGTGAAACTCTTTGTAACTCCCGTTCGAACTTCATTGTCAGACGAAGACTCCGAAGACAGTGATTGAAGGCTATCTGTTATATCACTGTTCGCGTATTCTGCTTCCGAGTATGTCGGTAATGTCTGTCTCTGTTGAAAGAAAAGGTAAAATTTTACCATGACTGAAAAAGATAAACCCAATGCAAAAAAAAACAAACAACCCAGAAGTAAAAGTACCGGAACGTTCTCTTCCATAATTCATTTCCAAAACAATTTTTGATGAAGTCCATATAAAAGCGAAACATGTTAAAATTATAAACATTTATAAACTTTGATCTCATAGATAATGTTTCCTTACACGCAAAAAATGTGATCATTCCTGAAACTTTAAATTTGAAAATCGTTGCATCAAATAAATGAATGTTATTTTATCGCAATTGTAAGCAATGGTTGGATGGAAAAATGAATTGAGTAGCTACATAAAAATAAAAGCATAAGACAAGGATGTGTCCTCTCCCCAGCTTTATTGTCATGGGTCCTTACCTATAACTACAGAATGAACTCTTCCTAACACTATGTATGCTACGCCCCTCAAGAAAGAGGGACGAATCAAGCCGAGCTTCTCGGCATGACGGTCGAACTCACTGCCTCTGAGCAGAGAGGAACCCGGACGAGGCTCCGCCGAAGGGCAGAGTCTCGTTCGGGAAGGTTGACCAACCCGATCCCGTTTATACGGGTTCTACGGGCATTTTTTGGCCGAGCCTACGGGCTCGGGAAACCCACGTTAAACTCGGCCTTGTGCCACATGCCACCCTCGTGAGGGGGGTGGCTAGATATCGCATCGAGTCGAGCCGATAGTAGTTCACTCCAAACCAGACTGACAGTCATACTAACACCTTCCACCTTGTATTATTATTTTGTGTAATATACATTCGTTATTTTTACTCTTGTGTTCGTGTTGTTCGTCCTTGGTCTTAACCTGGACCATAACATTTATTCAACCTCTACAGCGCGGTAATCCTAAGAGTGCTAGAGGTCCTACCAGGATTTGTTGTTGGGGGGGGGTAATCTTAATATAAGATACGCATATGACACTGTAATGATGGCTGACACGGAAAGAAAACTACAGCACCTTCTAGACAAGGAAGTAAAAGAAAACGAGAAGAAAATCTAGCCATCCATTGCAATAAGGCAGAAAGTGTGGTCATCGGCAAGAAGAAAAAGCCAAGATGCGAGATTGGAGATTTCAACATCAAGACAGTACGGAAGTTTAAATATCTGGGAAGTGTTTTAACAGAGAATGGAAAATTCGACATCGAAATCTGAATTTCAAAAGCTAAGCAAAAACAGAAAGAGGAAAGAAGGATTGGAAAACTTAATCCGCACAGGGCATATTGAGGACAAGAAATAGAGGAAGGCAGCGAGCCCCTTACCTGACGGGGATGGGAGCTTTAGAAAAAAATAGTAAAACTGCTAAGAGCTATAAAGTATAGGAAGTCTTGGAGAGCCATGATCACCCATGTACTGAAGAGGTGCAGCACATAGAAGAAGAAATGGTTGCTCGTTTTTCGGGTTTACCCGTCTTCTAAGGTTGATAGCTAATCCCGAAAGCAGACACCTCTCGGACACATTTTGGTTTCTTTAATACATATAGAACCAACCTGTGACTGTTAAAGATTATATACTTTGTCCCACAAAGTATATAATCTGGTGTGATCGACACCACTACACTCGAAGCCTCTACCACTCTGACTTGTGATTTTGTGCTGGCACAACCATAGACTCCTTCCGAACAGTTCCGTCAACCTAATTTTCTTTACTTGGATCAATCTGCGTTACGGTTTCTAGGTGTTTCCCAACGGCGCTGAACGCAGAGATCGTCTCTCCAAACCGATCCTACCAGCTTTTGGTCAGAAAGCTAACTCTTAACCACGCGACCATGCCAACATGGTGTGGCCATAAAAAAGATTTAGGCTACACCACTGGGACGCCCAGTAACTAACACAGTTGGATTGTCTGTGACTGTTGTGTTACTCTCAATCTACGGCAGGCCTAATGTAGGTTAGTAAGCACTTAGAATCGATTAATCTGTAAATAAGTAATGCTCGAGTAAGTTCGTTGTTCTGGTTAATTATATACACCCCTCCCCCCCCAAAAAACATTGAAACAAAAGATTAGTTAAAATCTCTTTAATCACGCGGATTAACAATACAAATGAATATCGTAGTTAGTGCGACTCACATTGCGATGCTATCTAGTAACTGTCCAACGTAGTCACATGTGGCACAAGGCCGAATTTAAAGTGGGGTTCCCGAGCCCGGGTGGCTCGGTCAAAAAATCACTGTAGACCCCGCATAAACGGGATCGGGTCTGTCTACCTCCCCGGACGCGAACTCTGCCCTTCAGCATAGCCTCGTCCGGGTTCCTCCCTGCCCGAAAGCAAAGAGTTCGACTAGTGCAGCTGGGAAAGAACACAGCGCGACTCACAACTCACATTGCGACTGCTTTGTGTCTCAAATTGAACTCCTTTCATAGTCAATGGAAGAGTTCAGTTTTAATAATTTAGTGTGGCGAAGATCGGTCGCCTTTCTACACAACAATAGGTATCAAGGTTCATACATAAATAAGGAACCAAGTCAGCTCCATTGTGCTAGATGTACGTTGACTCTAAAAGAAGGTTTATTCACCCTTCGGCAGCTTTTGTTTTATATCCTGCAGGTTTTCTAACAACGCTTCTCATCCTATAAGCCGCTGACCTGACCACTCGGACGATAGTACTGGGTTATATGCTACCAGTAGCAAAGTGACCCGACATGATTGTATAAGAAAATACTTAAAGAAAAAAAAAACAATAGGTGATGAAGTGTGTCAAAAAGAGGACATTTTCCCATAAACAAAATACAAATATCAGGTTGAACAAGCTTTTTATTAAAAATCAGGTGACGATAAATTCTTTTATCATAAACGATCAAAACCTATTAGACCAGTTTAAGTGAGATTTGAAATATTCCTCGAAGTTTACACGTTTACCTCATATAATCTGTGTGTGCGTGTGTTTTAAACGTACAATAATTTGAATGCGACACTAACGATATGTCATAAATATTGGATGTGCAGGTGGTGTAACGATTAACGACTCGAAAAAAAAAAGAAATCAGCGTATCGAGTTCAAATTCAGGTGAGTTCATTTCGCACAAATACCCTAGATAAATGTATGAATTCGTCTCTTCTCTCCCGTCAGCTCTTGATTAAATAACAGGGCTGACTGGACTCTGTTGCCTCGAGGTAGCAACTAATCTGGGAGAAGAAATAGCTGAATTCAATGGCAAACGGAAAAGGGACAGGATCCGTCAAATAAACTGACTAGTCACTGTGTTTACTCATTCCCCCACGAGAATGAGATGTGACACAAGGTCGGATTAATGATAATCGGTTTCGCTGGCCTCGGTGCGAGCACCGATCCCTCCCTCTTGTGCAATGGGAGGGCGTGCCTCGGGCAGCTGTTCCCCAGGGCTGGGCACCTCTTCAGTATAATTTTCCTCAGTCCTTTGACAGAGAAGCCCCTGAGCGCACTCTGTTCAAGGACAGAGACGCAACTGAGAGATGATAAGAAAACGTGAAATTACCCCAAAAGAGGAATTTACACTGACTAGTCACGCCACTGCTACTATGGCTGCAGTATATGTGGTCCTATTAGAACCCTAATGTTTTACGGTATCGTGATGTGGCGTGGTAAATATTATCTGAATCAGACGGCAATGGATTAACGTGGCCGAGAGTAAATGGTATCGGTTTATCTTGAATCAAGCTTATTATTAATATAATTTGTTAAAATAGTGAAGTCTTTGTTTCTATTGAAATTTTCCTATATCTTAATACATTTCTTAGCTTTTGAAAATCTCATTTTACTATTTAATCGTGCCATCGGATTTCGGTGTCATATTTTCTTTCGGCTTTTTAAACCCTTCCTAGATATATGCTTGATTTTGAAATCTCCAAAACGAACTGGTTAACATAAGAAAATGAATGGCTAAAAGTATTTTAAAACAGCAGTCAGTGTTTAATTATTAAATCTAAGCATTTTCTTATTGTTCATTGCTAAATGGGTAACGATTTGGACATTAACAGATCCAAAAGTAACGGCTAAAGCCGTCAACAGGAAGTTTTTTTGTAATGTAATTATGAACATACCATCGGTTCTATTCCCATTGGCGTCGGGTTGATGGAGGTCCGCTTAAACATGACGAGACCTTCTTCGGCATCAGCTCTCCTTCCATTAGAAGACGACCTTAAATTCTTCTGAGAGTTATGGTCACCAAAGACTGACGGAATGTGGCCACCCACATCGAATAGATCTGGTTTGTTGCCGGTCTTTTCCCGCTTGGAACGGCTGGCATTTATCTGAAAAAAGAGAAAGAGAAAAAATATATAGTAGTAACTCTTCATAAGGTTAAAATTTTATACTTCTCTTCTAACCGTATAAATATGTGTGTGTGTATAAAAATTCAGATATAAATAAATGTATCTAAAAAGACAATATAAATAAAAGGATTGAGAAGAGGGAAATCTTTATGCCAAGGAACCGTATAGGAACCGCCTTCGATAGTTTTTCTCAAAGAATGAAACGCGTCATCATAATAGGTTTTTCCACATATCATTTCTCACACACATACATACACACACAAATATATATATATATATATATATATATATATATATATATAGAAATGTAGTCTTAAGGTGTGCTATATTTATGGGATAAAGTGCTCGAGATCAGAGATAGAGCGTGTGTAAATATAAAAGTGAACATAGAAGTCAACACTTAGAGGCGACAGTCTGTTTCATGCTATATGCAATCGTCAGGATAGCATGAAACAGACTGTCGCCTCTAAGTGTTGACTTCTATGTTCACTTTTATATATATATATATATATATATATATATATATATATATAATATAAAAATATTTTTATTATAATAGATTACAATAAAATCATTTTACATCGCTACACAAAAACTTCCATGTTTCGGAACTTTAATCCTTCCTCATAGGGTGATGTTAGATTACAAATAATGCAAATGATTTATTTGGGAAATTTGAAAAAAAATCGTTACTTCTTTTGAAAGTTGAAATAGGGGAGGGGGAAGCCTAATGTCAGAATTAAAACATTGATACTTGTGGGCATGTCTGAATTATCTAATTAAAAGTCAGATCTATGCTAAAATAGAAAAATGAAAAATAAGGTCAGAGTTTAAAGGGAGGTGGGTTATAAGTTCATGTCTTGATATATTGGCACTCTAGACATGTCAGCGCCGAACAATAATGTAACCAAATCCAAAGTTCAGATTGGTGAAGTAGATATAGAGTAACCTAGAACAAAAAAAAATATTTTTAAGAATTTTTCAAAATGGTTCATACTATGGAAACCACTTAAAGAGACCGAATAGATAAAGTTAAAAAAATATTGTGAAACTTTAATATACAATGATAATTATATTGAATGGGCCGTAAAAACAAAGCAATATTCAACTTGAAAAAAAAACAAATAAAAATTGAGTGGACCATTATATATTTATAAAATAATGGCTATATAATCAAATATTTACGAAGAATTCTTTTAACTGCATTTTAATGTAAAATTTAGAGAATGCCTACATAAAACTGTTAATTTATTTCTTTGGTTTAGCAGAACTTTAATTTTAGGAAACTTTATAATATGCAGCTTTTCTTGTAAACACAAGGGACATGGGTCATATAAAGATTTACAGATTCTTTTTTTAAAAATATTTTCCATTTAACATTAGGAGTTTTACTAATTTCTTTTAAATGCCAAAAATATTTAGAAAGGGATGTTCGGTTACAGTAGACATTGTTATTGGAAGAAGATATGTGCTGATAACACCTGAGTTCAAATGTTTTTTTTGTGCTACCAATATAAAATTTCTTAACTGATGGATTTTTACTAGATGAAATGGTATATTGGTAAACAATAGATTCAGTAAGAAACGTATTCTGTAATGCACATTCAATTGGATTTCTACAATTACACGATTTTTTATCATTATTGTTTTCTGTTTTGAAATAATGATTTTTAATTGGTTTAAGTGTAGATTTAAAATTTTATTATGTTTTTTCTAGATTATCTGTACAACTGTAGCTTAATTTAAGTGTATTTTTATGAAAGATCTTGCTTAGAGAATTATTATTGGGGAAATTTCTCAATTAAATTGAGAAACTTCTGACCTGACTCAGTGCTAACCATCTGGTTAAATGGGGGTGTACACCAAATGATTTTTCTATTTCTATTTTTTCCTGCTATCACTGTTATGTTTTCTGTATTTAATATCAGGGCATATTTAAGATTATATATATATATATATATATATATATATATATATATATATATATACGCCCGAAAACATAAATTTCGATCGAGCACTTCAGAGAGAAAGCACGAATTTATAAACAGTGACTGCTACTGCTGATAATGCAAAACTCTTCTATGAATCGAGCACTCTGAGCCACTGGCATGTTTGATCAAAAAATTCCGTCTGATTTGCCATTAGTCGGCCTGAGGAAATCGGATGTCTAGTCACATTGATGAGCTGTGAATCAGTCTGTCTGTGGATGACTATATATATATATATATATATATATATATATATATATATATATATATATATATATATAATACTTGAGTTCCGTTGTCTTCGTGCTGTAACATGTAGTATTTGAATTTTTACAACCTTACAAGTTTTACTGCCAAGGGTTTATGCTTTATGTCATTTAACATTCCGTTTTTTTTTCGTTTCTTTCTCAGGATAAAAGTTTATTTCCTTTATGAAAAATATTCCACTTATTCTTTGATAAATAAGTCCCATAAATATCTCCATAAATCTCTTTAAAGACGACTTTGTGTATACTGAGTGCGTCTAGGCAATAAAGCTTTAAGTTTTATTATAAACTGCAACCAAGTTATGTCGTATATCTGTTTTAATAATGTTTCCTTGTCGACGAATTAATTTCTTTATCGTGTTATCGAACAAATAAAGGAAGCGTCCACAGTTACTGTTTGTTTTTATTAAGGTGCTTAGCTTCTGACGTCTTTCAGTCGTTTTCAACAAAATTCTATCAAGTTCAAAGTCTGCGCGATATATTTAATCTTTGAAAGGATTCTGGATTTTCAGTCTTGAATGTTTGTGTTGTCCCTGAGGGCTTGGTTTTATTTTTGTTTGAGTTTTTAAAAAGAGAAACTTCGTTAGAAACAAAGAAAAGAGTATTGAACTGTTACGTGAGAGTTGTCCTCTTATATGGCAGTGAATACTGGACAATCTCCTCAAAGATGAAGAAGAGACGAAGCAACAGAAATCTGCTTCTACAGAAAATGCTGAGGATACCATAAACCAAACAGGTAAGCAACGACAAAAAGGTTTTAGAGAAAAAGGAAACGAAAAGGGAACATATTTAGCATCAAGAAGAGACAGTTAAAATTTCTGAGGCACGTAAGGAGGGCTTGGAAAATCTGAAGGGGACAGATTGAGTGAAAGAGGGACAGAAAAGAAGCAACGCATAACATACTTGAAGGGCTTGAGTGGGCACCGCGAGGTGGTGTAATGGTTAACAAGCTTGTCTCGCTAGAACATTTACGACTGAATAGTGAGTTCGATTCTCACTGGGTACCCCTACTTGAGCCACATCTAAGATATGCTTGGAAAATTAATGGGCACTTCGACTTGGCGTAATGGTTAGGAAGCTTGTCTCGCTAGACCAATTACGACAGAGTAGTGAGTTCGATCCTCACTAGATGCTCACTACATTCGGCCTTGTGCCACATCTAAGCTACGCTTGGAAAATCACTACTTTATGGGCTTGAGTAAATAGATGGTAGAACAGGGTTTGGGAGAAAACGACAAAATTTATTGAGAGCTACAAGGGACAGGAAGATGTGGAGGCTCATGACATCCTACCTCCTGAAGGGACACGGCACATAAAGTAGAAGATGGAGGTTGTCTCGGTTTCTAGGATGCCAGATCAGGTAAGATATTTCTGACTCAAAGAAAAGTTCTGTTGCTTTGATTTTTTGGCAACAGGCTCATTTAGCAACCCTCCGACTTGAATGACCTTTGAGCCTTGTTTTGGATGAAAGTAAAAATATCAATAATATACACGAAAAAGACTAAAATACAATAGGTGCTTATAGTGATTTACTAAGTTTAGCATCCAGTGAGGATCGAACTCACTATTCAGTCGTAATTGATCTAGCAAAACAAGCTTGATAACCATTACCCCACGTTAAAACGCCGAATCCGTAGCTATGGGACAAGGTTGAACGTATGAAGCATCCAGTGAGGACTGAACTCACTATTTGTTGTAGAGTAGTTTTCACAGTGGAGGCTTGTATTTCAATAAGTCGTCCTAAATTAGGTTCGACGTACAAAACGTTAGGAACTTGAAATAAGAGTTAATGACGCAGCAATCTAGTTGTGATGGTTGATACTCCAATGTCCGACATCGACTGACTCGCTCAACACCACTGAGCCAAACTGGCGACCGCTACTACTACTACTACTTATTATGTGTGGGAGAGTCTATTAATAATAGAATAGGTACGTCAGGTATAACACTATTGAGTAGTAATTGATCTAGCAAGACTAATTTGCTATTACATGATGTTGTAGTACACAAATCAGCACTTATACATATACAATTAATGTTTGCCTACTATCAAAAAACGTCTTAAAATATGTTCCACTAGTAGAGCAATCGGTACTAAAAGACTAATGATAGCTTTTAAAAAATTTAATGCATATTAAAAATAAAATTTTAATTGACAATTAAAAGATTACACATAAAATAGCATTTCTGAGTAATTAATGAGCACTCAGAATTTGGTAAGTGATGTTAAACTCTTAAAATTCATTCTATGTGGTAAGATCAAAAGTAACACTATTTTGGACGTGATTTTACCTCACTACACTTCCCATGATATTCTGAAATAATGATGCATCTTATAAATGATGGCTCGGCCTGTTGATAGCCAATAGGAGAGAAACAATCGGCTTCCTGCAATTTCTAGCTTCTAACATGTACAGAACACGTGATTAACGAGGAAATATTAAGAAGAATAACAATGAAACTAACAATCAGAGATAGCTGAAAATTTACGGGATAAATTTAACATTTTTTAGAAGATTTAACACTGTTAACAAACTTATCAGGATATTCGTCTCAATAGTCCGAATGTTTAAAAAGTGATAAATTTCTGTCTGAATTTATGGGAAGAAGGGTTATCATTATTTACATATAAAGAAGGCCAGTAAGCTCAAGGATTATGACATTAATGTCTTCCGAACAGTATCATCTACCCAGTTTTACTCGCAAGGCTAGAGTTAAGCCGTGGTATTGTTTTAGGCACTTCTCAACGTAGCCGCACGCTTGGATCGTC